AAACTCGATTAATCCTACTCTTACGGCTAAATCTTACGATTTAGACTATACTCTATCTACTAAGCAGACTTAACTATCCCCTAGTAAGCCGGCGACTCTTATCCCCGACTCGGCTATTATTGGCCTAGAAGTTAACACCGTCTATAAGACGTCTACGTCCGGTATATTTCCCCTCGACGGACCGGCTGCCTTCGCGGATACCGATAAGCTATCGTTTCTAGCTAATATCGTTAACGCTAATCCGGTTCGATATAGCAACTTTATACCGTGCGTTATATAGGTCTAAACTATGGGAGATTAGCTATTTATCCGAGTAGAGCGTAGTGCGGATTTCGTAGATAACCTATACGAAGATTTCTTCCCTCGAATATTTCTAAAGCTTTTTCCGTAGGGAAGGGGCGGCCCGAAATCGAAGTACGACTCGAGTTATAGCCGATAAAGCGATAGTGTCGACCGTCACCTAAATCACTCTCTTAATTACTAGGCTAGATATATATTATAACGGTATAGAGGCCGATTCGCTACCTATCCTATCTTTTATTTCTTAGTATTTAACACCCTCCTTCGCTCCTCTAACCGCCGTATTAGCATAGCCTATATCGCTAAAGATTCCTTTTATAGACTTAAGTAAGCCTATGCGAACTTAACCGAGGACCGACTAAAGAGAGCCGAGGCGGAGATATAGGAGACGAGGACTACGTTAGACCCCGACGTATCGGTCTTACTTCGCGAGCTATCGATTTTTGGCTATATATAGCCGCTCTCGAACGAATCCCGTTTACTTATACGGAGGAAGATATAAGCTCTAGATATCCGCGCCGGTATGCCTATAATCTAAATTACTATTAATCCTAACGATATTAATAATCCGGTAAAGATAAGGCTCGCTATTTATAGGCTCTACGATTATAAGTCTATAAAGGGACTTTTAGCCGATCTCCGTAAAAGGTATAATAGAATCGCCCTTAGCACTATAGATCCGGTTAGCTCGGCTATTTTCTTCTACTAAGAAATATCTCTATTCTTTAATAAATACGTAAACATAGGCTAGGAATCGATCTTCGGGAAGATTAGCTACTACTACGCTACGGTAGAAACGAACGAGCGAGGCAGCCTCTACTTATATAGACTCCTCTAGCTAGACGGCAATATACGACTGCCGAACCTAATAGACGACATAGCTAACCCCGCGGAAGAAGTATATCGTGCCTAAGTAATCCGATATATAGACTCTATATTTCACGAGTATCTAGATAAAGATGCCGGAAAAGCCGTGCGATAATAGAGGAAGCCTATCTATCCTATAAGGGAGGTCATAACCAGCACCTCGGCTCTTACTACGGCCTTCGAAGACGAATCTAACTTCGTCGCGTACTATTGCTAAGTGCACTCCTATACGTATACCTACCTTAAGTATTCTCTAAAGGGGGTTGCCGAATAGGGTGCGGATCTATAGGGACGGACGGCCTGCCGCTTTAAAGCACCGTAGAAGATCGTCGACGAGATAGGGTTTATAGAGGATAGCTTACTTTAGATCCGGCGCAACTATCCGCTCGTTAACCGGTATAATAAGTTACTAGCGGTCGGCCTTCGTTATAATCACGACGTCTCGATAATCTTAACTAAAACTAAGGGCCTAGCTATAGTATACTATATTACGAACTACGCTACTAAACTAGATACGCCGATATAGAAGCGCATTGCTCTTACCACCGAGGTTGCCCGCTAACTCCGCGAAGCCGGTAGTGCGAGGTATCGCGCGCTAGGTCCTACCCTGCCCGACGATAGGTAGTAGGGAGTTTTAAATAAGAGCCGTTAGTTCTTAATAAGAACGGTAAATCGTATCTTGTCCGAGCGATAACTCTTAGCCGTCGAGGTCTATTACTACCTCCTTAGATATAACACCGACTTTACTAACGTGCCGTATTAGTCGTTCCTAAACTTAACGGCCCTCTATTAGACAATCTTTCGGCTATAGGCATATCTCCGCTACTAGGCCGGCGAGCTAACGGACGCTAAATAGCCCCCGGAGACCATCCCTCTAAGGCAAGGAGGGCGAACGCTTCTATGCTTAGATGCGTACGCCTACCGGGGCCATGTTCTATGGGACTTATACCTATATAACTATATATTAATAGTTTACTTAGTGCGTCGAAAGGGTTAGAGTAAAGATAAATCTTATATTTTTCTCGATAGGTAGGATTCCGATTATAACGGCTAGATATAAAAGCTTCGACGGCCCGACTAGTACGCTGTCCCGATCTTTTAAGGATATATTAGCGACGACTATAACGACGATTACCTAGTATATATTAAGCGGTACTCTCTAACCCCCTAGTACCGTTTTAGCTCCGTCTAACGGCCTATATAGAAATTCTATCCTATATTTAGCGTTATTCGTCCCTTAGGAAAACTTTATTTCTAAGAGCTTAGGCGATATAACCGATATATAGACGACGCATCGAGCGCGGCTTTATCCCTGCCTCCGTTTCTATGTCTCTAATATTTATCTTTTAAGAAAGTCTACTAAGGATACGCGTAAAGACGCGAAGCTCTAGGCTAGTCGATCGGAGGGTAACGATATAATTAACGTCGAGTACCTACTTAACGATAGCCGCTACGAGGAGGAGCCTCTAGCGATAGCTTATCGTTAGGCCTATAGAGCTCTACTCTAGATTTTGCGAAATGCCGTATAGCACACGGACGCTACGAAAGACTTACCCGTCCTTAGAGGCTTAATACGCGATCTATGCGAGGAGAACCCGGCGGAAGAGGAGCAACCTTTAGTATAACGTTAGGAGGATTTATACCGGAATATACCCTATAATTAAGGTAATACCTTATGCTAATTTCTAATATCTCGAGACGATATCTAAGCAGCGGCTAAGGCCTAATAGCTAATATATCTTCGGATACTTAACGATATTAAGAGTAGTTCTTAGGGGACTATGCTTTCCGCGGATAGCGCCGACGTCGACGATACCCTAGCTCGCTACGGCGATACGGAGTCCGCTACTGCGCTCCCGGGCAGCGACCTTAATAAATAAGGCCCTCGGATACTTATCGATGTTAGTCTGGCAACTAGCTTCGCGGAGATAGGACACACTACCGCGGCTAGCTTTACACTAAACTATTTATAGACTATAGCCCTTTAACTCGTTTGCCTATTTCTAGATAAGTATACTACTAACCTAGACTTAGCCGGTTAGTATCTTTAATATACTAGCGGGCCGGGTAGCACGGGAAAGTCGAGGATTATCGATGCCCTAAAGGACGTATTCGCGGCGAGGAACTAGCTATATCTTCTATAGATAACCGGCATATCGGGCAGTTCGGCGGCCTAGATTAGCGGCACGACGATCTACTCGGCCTATAGGTTAGATTCCTATCGCGATCTAAATAAGCCGCCTCCCCCCTTCTCGGAGGCGAAGAAGTAGGTATAGAGATAGAAGCTAGTGCTCGTGATTGACGAGGTTAGTATGCTAGGAGGAGCTACTCTACACAACGTTAGTCGCCACCTATAGGCGCTCCGTGACTATCCGGACGAACCGTTTAGTGGCATGCCTATCGTTCTACTAATAGGAGACTTCTACCAGTTCGCCCCCGTGCGGGAGATAAGCCTACTAATTATTAGACCGCCGGACCGAACAGAGATATCCCTCCGATAAGCCACCATCTCTCACCACAGCGGCTATAGATTGTAGCATCTATTTAAAATCGTGGTGCTCCTCGAAGACTAAGTCCGCGCACGCAACGATCCCTAACTCCGTGCACTCCTAGATCGAGTTCGTAACGGGCGCCAGACCCATAAAGATCTAAGCTTACTCAATGCCAATATTATAGGACGCTCGCAAATCACCTTCCACGATGGTTTGCGCGCTATAACGCCGCTAAACCGCACCCGCTAGGCCCTTAATATAGAAGCTGTTGTGGGCTAGGCGCGCTTTAACTAGCGGCATATCCGTATCTTTATCTCGACTTATACCTAGCGTAGCGGCGCGCTTTCTCTAGACATCGTAGCGCGAACTATCGGACAAGGCGACGACTCTGCCTGCAAAGTCCCCGGCGTCTTCTTCTACGCCTAGGGCATGCCCGTGGTTGTGAACAAGAATATCTATACTGGCCTAAAGGTTGTGAATAGGGCCGACTTTACCGCCGTAGACGTAATAATCGATCCCAATTACCCGGGATACTGCTTAGCAGATAACGTGACCATCTACTTCGGGCCACCGCTCGGCATTCTTCTATAGTCCGAGGAGACGAAGACCTTGGCGATACTATCCCTCCCGGTCGGGACAGTGCTTATCCGACCTATGTCGCATACGCTCGATTCGACTAGCTCTTACTTTAAATTCTTATCGGCAAGATGCACACGACGTAGATTACCCGTTGCGCTAGCGTTCGTCCTTACTAACTATAAATCTTAGGGTAAAACGTTTATAGAAGTACTCTTAGAGCTGCGTAGAAATCGTCTAACTAATAGCGAACCCTCTAAATACGATTTTACGAGCCTCTATATTTAACTATCTAGGTATACTACGCTCTATAGCATTAAACTCCTTAGTCCCGTGAGATACTAGGATTTTATTAATAATACGCTAGATCGAGCTATGCTTAATAGAATGCGTAGACTTATAAACTTAGCGGCGTAAACGAGACGGGCATATAAGGGTAGCGATTTAGAAAAGCAGTAACACTAGTTAATCCGATCGTTTATATACGCTTTTTCGTGCGTAGAAGAGTTATACCTAATAAGGTAACCGGGCCGCACGCTAATTATCCGGATCTCGCTCCCCTCCCTTCCTAGGATATAAGCGCTTTTACTCCTTATAATAATTTACCTACTATTTCTCGAATGCCTAGTGGCTATAAAGCCATCTCGGCGGCCCTTCTCCTTCCCCGAATAGGTCGAGGATATAGTCGCAGAACATCCACACTCCTTTAAGATACTGCGGATAAAATGGCCTCCTGTCCTTGCGCGCGACCACGACGGTGCCAACTTATGACTGCCATTCTAGAGGTGCAAACCCGGAGTCGGCATCAATATTAAGGTACGTAGCAATCTGGTTATCGAGGTCTGCCTCGTTAACGGACTGAGTCCCCGTCCGATAGAGGACCAGCGGGACCTCGATGAGCGCTGGGACGGAGGGCACCGACTGCGAAAACATATTATGATTCGCAGGGATTATAGTGGCAGACCAGAGGGGAAACTTGCGTTTCTCGGCCTCGCATCGGACAATGACAGCTTCGACATGCCCCGACTTGCTGTGCGTTTCCCTCAAACCTGACGTACCCATCGGCGGCGAGGCATGCGTGGCCGGCGGGGTGGGTTTTGCCGCTGGCGCTTGCTGGGGCGATGTCTCTGGCTCCGAATCGGTGTCGATGTTGTCCCACTTTGAGTAATCAATCGGAGGCATTGGGTCGATTCTTGACAAATTGTTACCCTTCACTGCATAATTCGCAACGGTTCGGACTCCTTCGACCTTCAAGATGATGGCTCCTGAAAAGGCTCCATTACGTCCTTACCCCGCCCTAAGCCTATCGTGTTGTGGCGGGTAAAACGGCGTCAAGCAGCCACACTATCGGGAGCAAGCCTCATCTTTCCTTTCAACAGACTTGTCAGTGTCAAACCAAGCCGAATGCTTCAGTCCCGTTCCTCAAGGCATTGGCGGACCCTGCAAGGGGCCGGTCTCCTGTTTTGGGGTGGGCCATAGTCCTTTCATTGATTTAGCTCATTGTAACCTGGAATGGCGGTGTGGCAGGAAGCCACACCAGCCTTTAGCACATGGTGATCGACAGATATAGCGGCCGTCGAATCAAGGCAGCCACTGTGTTATACTCGTTTTTCTTTCCGGCTCGGGGGGTCGTGGGAGCAAACTCCGTAGGCACGACTTTGACCATCCGGATATAACTAGGCTTCTAACAGTTAGATACGCGGTACTCCGTACATACTTCAAACATACGGCTGTAAGCGAGCAGCACTTTTTCAGGGCCGCGATGGTCGTCGTACACTTAATGGCATGCAGGTTTGCACAATCATCACAAGCCTGCTACATTTCGGGTTTACAATCTCTTAACTCATCATTTGGGATCTAGGTCGGCTCGGCCGGATGGAAGCCATTCGTAAACGAGATATCAAATTTAGCGACTCCTCGGACACCATGATAACCTGAGGCTGGGTATTGGAGGGCGTAGGGTGAGAAAGTTTCCCACCCAAAAGTAGCTGCCAGAAACACGAGCGAGAATATCACGGAGAACGGGGTCTATGTTCGGGTGAGCAGTTATTGTCATGCTTTTCAAAAGTGACAGTCTGCTTCTTTAATAAGCGTGAGAAGAGAAGTCTCTTACCTGTGGGCTTGGCTGAGGGTCTAACAGAAAGTATTGCGAGAAGCCTTGTTACGCAATCTACTCAAGATCATCCAGAAAGCGGTTTTATGTCCGCCTTATTCGATCAACAGAGACAGCTTCTAGGTGACTAACAGCATGCTACAGTCCATCAGGAAGACGCATAATCAAGAGGATCAAGCAATAGAATTATTAATTCCGGCCTCATTATCTGCTATACTGACCCCACCGTGCATTTAAAATACATATCGCGTTATACAACAAAAGCCTACACCGCTATTCTCTGGCGAAATAACGACACCCAACCGCAGGTCTGACCTTAAGCCCGAAAGGGTTTGTATCATTAAGCTCTTTCATTAAAGGAAGCAACTAGAACATCCTCGTATTGCGTTAGAATGCTCTTACGCCGTGGCTGAGACTTGTGTCACGCGCCGAATGGACCTAAAATACGGCATCTAGACCCGCATGGCAATATTTAGAATAGAAACAGCACATCATGCAGATATCTTCTAGCTATGTAGCCCTCTTGCGAACGTGGTAAACTCTAATTGGAACCGCGGAGCCAGACCGAAGTGGGGATCGCAATGCACTAGCAGGAGCTATCTTTATGTTATTGGGTAAAGAAGTAGGGATAACTACGATCTCCGGAAGAGTCCTTTCGAGATTAATGATTAAATCGTTGGCTCCCCTGCTTGGTACTCTCTAGTTTATTGTGCTTGAGCTTCTTCCGCTCTACTTCCAGGCTCGTCCGATTTCTATCGTCCAGGAAACTCTGGCTCGCAACGCCTACAGAGCGAACATCTCAAATGGATACGAAAATCTTCAAACACCAGTACGAGGGTATCCTTCGGCACTATCTTCATGACATCTCATTTCAGATACCACCCTCCGCGTACGACCTGTCCATAGAGAATGCCGTTATCAAGTACTTTCACACACGAGCCTTTGCCGCCGATTTCCTCCGGCGCACTATGCCGATTATCCAAGCCGGTGCTTGGATAGCCACAAGTACCTACCCTTTCACGCCACCAAAAGTCCAGGAGGCAATTGCAATATATACCGCCCTAGCAGTTATGATAGAAGATACGAGTAAAGAAAATCTTGATGAACTCAAAGCCTTTCAGCGTCGACTGTTTCGCCGGGAGTCGCAGCCTAACCAACTCCTGGAGGCCATGGCTCATTTTACTGGTACTTTATATGAAATCTACGGACCCTTTATTTGCGATATGATTGCGAAATCGACCGCGGAATTTATTAGCGTATGCGCCTTTGAGCAAGAATATGAGGGAAAGCTAGCTCTCACGCCGAGCACTCCCGACTTCCCGTACTATCTACGACTCAAAACAGGAATAGGGGAAGTGTACTCCTTTTTCGCCTTCCCGCAAATCCTATACCCTGAGGACTCTTTCTTACATATATACCTTCCGGTCATCCCTGACCTGGTTCGATATTTCAATTTCGGAAACGACTTCTTATCCTTCTATAAAGAATCTGTGGTCTCGAATGAGCGTCTAAATTATATATATAACCACTCACGAACCAATAACATTACACCGCTCCAGTCATTACAGCATACACGCTTATCTTTGGTTAATTGTGTTCGAAACGTTCGAAAAACTCTTTCGATCAATCCACAGATACGGCATGATCTTGACCAGCTCTTTAATGGTTATGCGATGTATCACTTCGGTGCATCAAGATATAGGCTCTCAGATCTAGGTATTCAAGAAGTTGACGAAGTAAGGGCAAGAGTCTGCTGTCCGATTACGATTGACAGCGCAGTCGATATCAGTGAGTATTACATGTTAGCGCCAACTGTTTTCAGATTGATTAAGACGCCTAGATCCTCCTGCTTTTCCAGACAATAAAAGCCAACATTCGGTGGACGTTGAAGGCTTCGCGTGAGGCTCGCGTAAGATGAAGTCGGATTCTACAGTAGATATTTACTTGATATTTATCAATATCACTCATTTAACTACCCATTTTAACGTCTTCGAGGCACAGGCAAAGGACACTTGGCCGCCTCCATCAACTCCCCGGACCAAAGATTCCCTAATCATTGCCGCCACCACGGCAAGCTCTACTGCTAAACCCTCTACGGCAACTGCTACGCCTACCTGGCAGGCCCTCCAATGTTACAAGGACCTCCTCCTGGTCAACGACCACACACACTCAAGGACGTCAAGGAGGGAGGAAACGGTAACTGTGAAGCTGATTAGATACCGCTACGCCAGGAAAAGTAGGGGCACCCCCGTTAGAGGTGTTATTAGCGCGTATTATAAGTCCCTTCTCTGCTCTGACAGTAACCTAGCCATCACGGGCTGACAGGCAACAGGAACAAGTCCAGTTATATAACCGTGTAACTGCTCCCGGTGGGAGAGATTATTCCTACCGCTCAAGTCTCATATGGTAAAGTCCCGTCCCCTGCTGTGAGGGATCGACTCCACGTCGAGCCCAGATGAAGGATTCATCGTGACGGCTTGCCCGAGTTTCGGGAAAGCAGCGTCGTCTTTCCGTAGGCGTCGATGCCAACTAGCATCCCTTATGATCCTCCTCGTCCCGAAGCAGCAACCGATTTCTTTTCCCGTATCTCAATACCTGCAAACGGCAAAGTCGGAGGCGGTAAGCAGGGTTGGACTATCGCTTCGTAGCCTTCGTCCAGAAAACATCTACTTGCAGTAGAAAGCGAAGCTACTTCTGATAGACAGAAACTTCACTTATCTTTAAACTGATGACCATAAATATGCTCGGCTAGAGCAGTGATATGAAACGTGGCTCTTCCCATAACAGTTGGTGCTTGCACTGCTTGGACACTACCCCATGCAACTTCCCCTCACTTTTATGGTGGTGACGAGGGGCTTGGAACTGGCAGTGTCTATTCCCCGATTTAAAGTTATTGCTTCTCTCGAACCTGGGCTCTTGGCTGTGTTTGCTAGCTTTGAGCATGCATCTTTGGTCCAAAGCGACTCCAGAATATTTACCAACTACACTCTTCGACCACAGCATGCAGTTACGCAGAAACACCACGACAATGTGGGTGTAAAAATTCCAACTATAGCAGTGAGGCGCTTTAAACATGTAGATGCTTGGAACCCTCAAGGTGTATACTGTGAAGTACGGTCGTGAAGAGTCACCAAGTCAGGTATCTCTTTGGTTCCATGGATGATGGCGTTAATACTTGCAAGCGACAAGTCCAATCAGGATAAGGGATAATGGGTCAGCGGTGACATTGTCTGCCTGGCACTTGCCAAATCTACCCACTTCTTTCCCCAGGACCCAGGCCAGGTTTTCGTACTCACCTTACCCTTTTCGGACTAGAGGGAGAATCCAGACTGCCCGTATCTCTCCGCACCAGTGCAGTGGCTCGGTACTTCAATCCGCCGGGCAACCACCCCACAATCCATAGCCTCGAGAAAGCGATCTTCCAACCTCACCTCTTGCACCTCTGCCTCCTCCCTCTGGCACCCACGCCTCCCTGGCCGCATGTAGCCCAGGACGCTCGCCCGGCGCAGCCATGGCTTCTCAACAGGCCGACAACACCCCGCCGGCCGACGCTGCCGCCGCCGCCCCTCCGCCGCAAGCGTCGTCCGAGGTCCGCAGCGAGGTGCGCAAGCCCAAGAAGAAAAAGGTGCTGCTCATGGGCAAGTCGGGCTCGGGAAAGTCGAGCATGCGCAGCATCATCTTTAGCAACTACATTGCCCGCGACACTCGCCGCCTGTGGGTGCTCCTTCCTCCCGTCGTCGCCTGTGCGGTGCTAACCTGGGCATAGAGGCGCCACCATCGACATTGACCTCTCCCACGTCAAATTCCTTGGAAACCTTACCCTCAACCTCTGGGACTGCGGCGGCCAGGAAGCCTTTATGGAAAACTACCTGTCCCAGCAGCGTGTACACGTCTTCTCAAACGTCGGCGTCCTCATCTACGTCTTTGACATTGAGTCGCGCGACGTCGACCGCGACCTCGCCACCTACGTTTCCATCCTCTCCGCCCTGTTGCAGTTCTCCCCTGCCGCAAACATCTACATCCTCATCCACAAGATGGACCTCGTCGTCCCTACCGCCCGCGAGTCCGTCTACGACGAGCGCGTCCGCCTCGTCCGCCAAAAGACGGTCGAGTACGCGGCTTCTGTCACTGGCGATGCGGCCTCGGTCGACTTGACGCCCTTTGCCACCTCCATCTGGGATCAGAGCCTCTACAAGGCCTGGGCCTCCATCATCCACGACCTGGTTCCCAACCTCGCAGTCATTGAGCGCAATCTTGCCAACCTCGGCCTGGCCATCGAGGCCGAGGAGCTGCTCCTGTTTGAGCGAACGTCCTTCCTCGCCGTCTCCTCCTGGACTTCTCAAGAAGGCCACCGGAACCCCACAGAGGACCGCCTCGAGCGCATGTCCAACATCATGAAGCACTTCAAGCAGAGCATCTCGCGCTTCACCGGCACGCCCCGCAACGCCGAGCAATTCATCCGCATGGAGCACAAGGCAGGCATGCGTTTCAATCTCTTTATCCTCAAGTTCACCACAAACACCTACCTCATGGTCGTCCTCCCTCCGGGAGAGGCTCGCTTCAACGCCGCCATGCTCAACTGCCAGATTGCCATTGAGCACTTCAAGTTCTTGGACGGGCCGGCCGGGTAGGCGGGCGTCGCTTTGTGTCGGCAGCAAACCCCGCAGTGCATCAGAGCGGCTTCGCATCGCCTGCTTCGAGTTACGTGTCATGTTGCGCTTGGGCGTTTGTCGTTTCACGATACCATTCTTGGTCGGAGTCTGCGGCGTTGAGAATGATCAAGATGACATTGGCAAGGCTAAGGTTTGGCAGCTTTCTGTGGTTTCAGCTACCTGCTCGTTTCCTTGGTGCAAACTGGTCTAGCCATGGTTGTCCTCGAGGTGCGATTGGCCCGCCTGCCAGAGTCAACCTAATCTACTGATTACATGGCAGTATCTATGGCGTCGCCGCCCGACTCCGCCGATTCCCTCTGCCTTCAAAGTCGTGTCATGGCTACGGTCTACGCCCACTTGACCACAGCAGTCCCTCCCTTTTTGAACTCGGGCATCTCGCCCAAGACTAGGTTCTTATCCGTGTGCTCTTTGTTCGGGAATGTCGTTACCAAGACCCACGCCCGGCTGCGCGTCTCCGGCGACGCGCCCTGGACGAATCCGTAGACCTCTCCGACCGTGTTTGTAGTGTTGAAACGGGCGGGCAGCCGCGTTCCGTCGGGCATCTGAATCCGCAGCATGATTGTAGGCTGAGAAGTGTCGATCGACGGTTCGGCGTTCGACGATGACGAGGCAGCCGCTGTTGAGGTGGTTCCAGCTGCCGGCGTAGTTGTAGCGGAAGTGCTGGCGCTTGTTCCTGCACCCGCACCAGGTACAGGACTGCCGAGGCGGTGACCAGCGCCGGAGAAGGGCTTGTACGACTTTGGCGGAGGCGCGTACGGGGTGTCGTGTTGGTGCAGCTTGACGTCGATGGGCTGGTCGTGCTGCACGTTCATAAGGTGCAGCGGAGCTCGTCCTGAGCGAATCATCTGCAGATCGGCCTGGTTGGCCGGGTCGTCGAAGCGGCGCAGCTCGCCGTCGTCGATGCTGAATCCATCTTGCCAGATGTGCAACACGCGCTCTTGAGGCTGCGAGCTGGCGGGCCGGGCTAGGCCCAGAGGATCGGGGATGGCGCGGCTTTCTACTCCCTCCCCACCCAGTGTCATGCCAGTGCCACGGAAGCGGGACAAACGGGATGGGCCGGCGTCCGATGCAGTGTCTGGCCGAGAGGCGTTGCTACTGTCGGTTAGTGTGCGATGTCAAAGAATGACGCGCAAGATGGGAACTCACGCTCGGGCCTTGGCCAGGATGTCGTTGATTATGCCTTTTGATCCGCCCTCCTTTTGCGGATCCTGCACAGCGAGGCCCGACTTTTCTCCTCCAGCAAACAGGTTGCCACGACCGTCATCAGCTCCGTCGCCATCAAAGTCGTCGTCCTCGTCATCATCGCCGTCACCGTGCTGGTGCGAGCCTGCCCCGAGGGAGCCCAGGGTGGCAACACCCTTCTTCTTCGGCTGCGATGCCGGAGCGCGGTTCCGGCGGTAGACCTGGGGAGCTGGCCGGCCGTCGAGGGTGCGGGGGCCAGTGTAGGGCTCGTCTGGGTTGAGGCTGGGAAGCGTGCCGTCGGCGGTATCGTCCTCATCTGCGAAGTAGCTGTTGCATGCGGCCACCAGGTCCCAATCGTGGGCCTCGAGATACTGCAGGGCCTGTGATTTCGGGCACGTCAGCGCTTTGAAGCCGGCGACGAGAAGCGAACAGGAGGCGCGGGCCGACGTACCATCTCTTCGCTAGCCGAGCACATTTCGCAAAAGTCCCTGAGCCGCTTCTCTCGGTCCTGGGGCTCTTGGTCGGCCATGGTGAATGCCGCGTGAGGGGCGAGCGGAGAACGCAGCCTGATTCGGGGGGGGTTGGGTACGTAAACGAGAGAAGAAGCTGTTGGGATGATGGACCAGGGCCGGAAGTCGGGGGTTAGGAGCTTTGGAGATGGTTCTGTAGCTTCTCGAGATGGCAGCTTGTCGACGGTCCAAGTGCAGGCAGCGACGCCCACCTCGTCATGAGGCCCCTGCAAGTGGTCCTGCAAGTGGTAAGCGGTGGAGGCCGACCCCACCGGAACAGCGATTCACCGATGCCGTGCGGACCTCGAATGCTTACGTAACTCGAGCTCACGCGCTCCCTCGTCAACCCCAGCTTGCCGGGTCCACCAGCGATGCGCAACCAGAGATGCGCTGCACATTGGCCCTGCCGCGACGCAAGACACTGCCCCTCGACTCAAGCGCCGTGTAGGGATCCGACGAGGCCTCTCTCTGCGGGCGGGCTGCGGCCATGGCATCCGAAGACTCGACCAACCACGGCCTCGCCGAGTCGGGCATCACGATGCACTCTGACAGCGAGCAATACTCGCCGCGCGAGGATCTGTCCACGTCGCCGCCGTCATCCTCCAACTCGCCCGTCATCCTGTACAAGCCCCCCACGGTGTGGTCGTTGATACGCGGCGCCGCCATCAACCTGCTCCTGCCATTTATTAACGGCATGATGCTGGGTTTCGGAGAACTCTTTGCCCACGAAGCGGCTTTCAGGTTAGGATGGGGCGGCACAAAGGTTCGTTCTCTCCAAATGCCGGAACTTCTTCTCGTGACTGCTGCTCTGAAGAAACCCCTCACGGCAAAGAGCCCGGCCATGGGTGGATGATTGCTGACACGCGGCAGGTCTTCCCGCTCTCTCGGCGGAGAGCGCATCCCATCGGCCCCGGCATCGAAGTTCGTGAGCGGCGTCGAACTCCCGGCGTGTCACTAGAAGACTACGCGAGCTTGGAGTAGTCGAACGGAGAGACGTGAGTACGTACGACGTGTCTGGGAGGCATGAGCTGCATTGCACGGGGATATAGAACGCCACACATTCAGCCTGGGTCAAGAGAAGGGGAGGGGGAAGGGCGGTAACAGTTGGTGCGGCTTGGACTCCGGCTTCGGATCACGAGGCCTTGTGGATATGGTAAACACATGATACAAAGGGTTTTGAGTGAATAGGATCTCGGCTTAGACGGTTCCTGCAAAGTGACTCCATGTCCGACCGCATGGCCTGTACCGTATTCGGAAGAGACAGGTTCACCATCCCCAACTCTCCACTACACTCCCAGCCCAGTCCAAAAGGCCTCGGAGTCCGAAGACTGGACCCTGATGACCAGGTCCCGGAACCGATGTTTACCCGGTGCCTGACCGCAGCTCCAGTGAGCAAACAAAAAAAAAAGGTCGAAGAAAGCTTCTGGAGCATTGAGCAACGAGCTTTCTCTATTCCTCCGCGTGCGCAACTCCCCTATCGCAACCGGCCGCCATGCTCCCAAGCAGGGGATTCGCGCGCTCCCTACCCTCTGCCGGGGTCGGGCGGCGACTCCAAGGCCGACGGGCCACGACGGTGAGAACCATTTCTCTCGCGCCCGGCATGCGCTCAACTGAAAATGCTCGGCTGGTACTGACGCTCCATATGCGCAGGGCCCTGCCCCTTCGAGTGTCCTTTCCGCGCGACATGGGTCTGGTCGCCAGTTCGGTACCTTGCTTCGGAGCGCCAACGGCGGTTGCTCGCCGCTCTTCACAAGACGGCATGCCGTCGCGGCGCCCGTCTTCCTCGGCGGAGTGTCGACGCCCCGGGCCTTTTCTCTCTGGGGATACGGCAAATCGAACACACCTCCCGCGCCAGCAGACGCGGCAGCAACGGCAACAGCCACAGCCACAGCCAAGGACACCAACGCCCAAGCACCGGCCGTCCGCCCCGTCGACCCGACGCCCGAAACCCCCGTTCCCGGCGCGCCCCCGACGGAGCCGCCCGTGCCCGCCTCCGACGTCGACCTCTCGTCCATTGCCGACCTCGTCAACGCGCAGGACATCCTCGGCATGCCCGAGCAGCTGGGCTACCTGCACGCCATCGGGCTCGACTACGGCTGGGGCCCGACGTCGCTGATGCAGTGGGCGCTCGAGCACGTGCACGTCTGGACGGGGTTCGGCTGGGCCGCCTCGATTGTCGTCACGGCCGTCGCCCTGCGCTGCGTCATGTTCTACCCCCAGGTCCGCGCGCTGCAGTTTGGCGCCGTCATGCACAAGATGAAGCAGGATCCTCGCTCCAGCGAGGCCATGAAGCTTATCCAGCAGGGCTTTCAGGACCGTGATACCGAGATGCGGCAGCGGGGCCAGATCCTGAACAAGATGCTGCGCGAGCAGTACGGCGCCAGCAACTGGGGCATCGTGTGGTCCCTCATGCAGATCCCCTTTACCTTTGGCATGTTTCGCATCGTCAGCGGCATGACGTACATCCCCGTGCCGTCCATGGAGACGGGCGGCTACCTTTGGTTCCCAGACCTGACGGCCACGGACCCCTACTTCATCCTTCCCGCCATCGGAACCGGCCTCATGGTCGTCTCCGTCTTGGTATGTCTCGATTCCCCTGCTCACGCCACTCAGCGCTCTGTCTCACCGATCCGTCTTGGTAGCTCAACGCCAGACATGGCCCCCCCTCGCAACAAAAGCTGCTCAAGCCCATGATGTACATATTTGGCGTCGTCGGCTTCTTCGGCACTACCTTCCTCTCCGCCGCCGTTAACCTCATGACGGTCGCCGTCGGCGCCTCGACCCTCGTCAGCGCCGTTATCCTCAGCAGCGGCCGCCTCCGCCGCGCCTTTGGCCTCCCCACCTACCATGACAAGGCCCCCTCGAAACCCGCCGTGTCTGTCTACTCGGCCCCGCGAGCCGCCCCCGCGCCCGAGCCCGCCGCCCCCACAGGCCTTCGCGAGCGCCTCACCAACAATCTCGACGATGTTAAAAAGGGCCTTTCCGAGCAGGTGACCAACTTGACGGGCACGTACACCGGCACGGACCAGGAAAAGGCCGAGAGAAAGCGCAAAGACCTGCTACGGAAGCTGGAGGATACGCGCAAGTCCCAGGAGCGCGAGGAGTTTGCAAAGAAGTACAAGAAGAAGCAGTAATGGGGCGGAGAGGGGAGAAACATGTAAAAGTAAGTTGCAACCTGCCATGGACCAATTTTTGCCAGAAAGGCAAACGGCAAGCAAGGGCCGAAAGGAACAAGGAAGGGGAAGAGGAAACATCCCGGGGTGGAGATGACCTCTGTACACTAGACGTTATAAAGCGCGTATTCACGGGTCCAGTGGTTTGGGCCCGACACCCAAAAGGGCTCGATGTTGCAATGAAAACTGTAGTAATAGAACACGCCCCGCTCATGCCCAACGGTGGCTCAATGGGGTATGGCCATGTTATATGCTGGTCCCCCCCCAGGCCGAGGTATTCTCCTGCCAAGCAAACCCCGTCTGACAATTGATGCCTGCCTGCCGCCAATTGCGTGCTCCACCGCCTTGAGAAAAGTGTCCCATAGCCTTTAGAAAACAGTCCCGTCACTCTCAATCAGGATTGGGGGTTCCTTAGTGTTTGGCCGATGTATCTCGGCAAGCTCGCGCCCACCCTGCATTGATGACGGTCAGACCTCAAACCAGGCACGGCGTGGTAAGTCTGACTTTGGTTGGGATCATGTCTCTTACCTTCCAACTGCCAGCCTCGAGGAGCTGGGGCAGCGTCAACTCGTTGCCGGCCAGCTCAGCCTTGAGGGACTTGTTCACTTCCTCACACAGCTTGTCCAACAGCCCAACCGTAGCCCCGCGCCATTCAACCACAACGTCATCGCCAGGCTCAAACATGGGTGCCACCTCAACTTGCTTGGTGCCCGTTCGTAGGCAGTATTCGCTGTAGTTTTGCAGACCGCGCTCGTTATCGTCGGCTTTCAATGTCAAGACGCCCATGTCCACGAACAGGCCGCCGTTGCGATATTCGGGTAGGCCGGTGAGCAGCTCGGTCCCAGCGAAATGCATGTTGAGCAGAGATTGCATGGGCTGCATGAGCGAAAAGGTGAGCCACTGGGTCAGCTTGTGGAAGGGCAAGATGGATTCCCAGCGGGCGCCGTCAGAGCCCGACAAGGCCTTGCACGGCCACGCGTCCCCGAGGGAGACGCCATCCAGGGATGTCCGCGACGGTGGCCAGATGCTGACCAGGCCGTTCATGAGAACGTTCCACAGCACCGGCAGAGGAACAACCAGCATGGATGATGCCAGCGTTGACGGGTGCGACAAGAGGTGGTCTGGGCATTGAATGTTAGCCCACAGATTGTCGAATTGTCGACAACAGTATGCAAGCGTATGTACCTATCATGTTGCCGGGGCGGCCGTCGGCGCCAAAGAAATCTCTCTTCTCGTTAAGAGCACGGGCTAGCCTGATGAGGAGCGCGGTGCGACCGTCAAGGCCGGCGAGCTTGTTGCCTTGGCGAGACTGAAGGCCCGCTTCCAGCTTGTCGACGGTGAGCGCTTCGAGGCCCACCTTGTCAACCTGGGCCTTGTTGTCGGGATTGCCGGAGAAGACGCCCTAGATACGAATCAGTCTGGCGCTGGGAGGCCTCCAAGGTGGCGCCGTGATCATACCGCCTCAAACATCTCCAAGCTGGCAACGGCCAGGCCCTCGGAGCGTCGGTAGGTGCGGCCATCCTTGACACTCTTGTAGCTCCACTGGGTCCCGGCGCCGGCGTCGAGCAGGACGCTGACGAGGAAGAGGTCGATGAGACGGCGGCACCTCTCGGTGTTGTCGACGCTGTCGGGCCACGTGGCCAGCAAGTCGACGATGCGATCCTTGCCGCCGACGCAGAAATGCTGGTATCGGCCATGGCCGGGGATGGAGTTGAAGGGGGCGGGATAATCGCGCTGTGGAGGTTGTCAGTGGAGCAACAGAGTTGATTCGTTGCTTGCAGCATGTGGCACCTTTATCAAGCCCGAGACAAAGGTGACGACATCGGCAAGCTTGGTCAGGTCGACGTCGAAGTGATGGAGCTGGTTGGCGAGCAGCTTGTCCATGACAAGCCTGCTCCTGTCCCTGACGGCGCCCAAGCTCCGGAGGTAGCCGGTCGGGTCGAGCTGGGGGTCTGGGGGCCGCGGCAGGTCGACCTTGGGCAGCTTGACGGGCGACATGGGGGACAGGGGCGTTCTGGGGGAGATGGTGCCGGCAGAGGTGCGGGTTCCAACCAGTTTGGAGTTGGACGAGTTGAGGCTGGCCGAAGACTGAGAGATTGTGATTGACGAGGAATTGGCTTTGGCGGCCTTTGACTTGCGAGAGAAGAGGCCCATGGCGGCGAGGTCAGGCGAGGGCCGAGGGGGGGACGAGGGGGGCGGCGGGGTGCGGGGAAAAGAGTTGAATCTGTCTGGCCGCCGAGAGCCCGCAGTTGCAGGGGCGGGAGACACCGCCTGGCAGGATGAGTCTAGGGCGTACGTGTTGTGTATGTTGTTGCTTTCCGAGTCCCACAACGAGGGCAACGCGACGCTTCAAGGGCGGGCTCGGGCTGGCTCGGGCTGGCTGGCTGGCGACTTCTGGGCGTTGGAGGATTTTCTTTCGGCCTCGTCGAGAGTCGAGTCGGACGATGGCTCTCCGGACAGCCAGCACTGGCGGCGGCGCTCCGAGAGGTGGCCTTTGCTGCTGCTTGGGTAGGGCAAAGATGAAGACGAGCTCGGGCTTGGAAAAGGTTCGCTAAGGGAGGCAGGGGTTTGCAGGGCGCAGTTAAAAGTGGTATTGGTGTGGTGAGCACTGTGGCATCGGTCTATACAGGGGCAGCTGCAGCGGCAGCGAGCCCGAGAGGCCTGTCGATTGGTTCATGCAGCTACCGGGTCGCCAAGCGGCTTGGTTGAAGGAAGGATTCGCTTATTAAACCCGTGGGCAGCTGCATTCTTTTTCTTGGCAGACGTATGAGCAGAGAATGTAGGTAGATATTAGTATTTCTCCGTACTTGGTACCTCCCTCCCCGGCTGATCCAACGACACTCTCCTCAACACCACACACAATAGGCGTCGGCCACATTCAACATAACCCATTACCGTGAATGATGGGGCGAAGCGACGCCTGTGCCGAGGAGCCTGAGGCAGTGACCAGGTCGACCGCAGTGACTTGACGCCACAGCAATCATTGGCCACCCTTCGTCTCTTTCGATTTCTCAAGCTGCATCGTCAAGCTTCCGCGCCCCATGACAACGTTCCTCTCTTCAGCCGCCATGCCTCTAGCAAGGCTGTCCAAGCGCTAGCCAGAACGCGCTTCGAAATCCCGAGACAAGAGCGGCGCTACGGCTCCCAGGGTGAAAATAGAGGAACCTGCATCGAGTGAGTCTCTCGTCGCAATCTACCTTGCTTGCGCTATGCTCATACCGTTACCGCCTTATCGCAGATTCCGCAAGCGCGGCTCCAATCAGTTGCCCAGAGCCAGATCATCAGCTGCGCCTAAGAAAGGCACTTTCAACGCATACGCAAGCAACAGCAGACGAGCCGACCTGCACCAATCCTTCCAAAAGGCCAGAAAGTCGGCCAAGGCGGGAGCTTCTGCTTCCCTTCCCGTCGTCAACCACGTTTCCACCAAAATGCTTACCATCCTTGTCTCCGGCAATGGCAACAACGGCGAGCTCGGCCTTGGTCCCATGGGAGCAGGCAAAAGCCCGCCGGCCTCGCACCAATCCGCACCTTGACCCTCTCGACCCGTTCAAGCTCAGCTTATCTGCGGCAGATGGTACGCAATTAATTGCTTTGACAGTAGATAACAAGAACATTACTCGGGGTGTCAAAGACAACAACGCCCTTCGAAAAGACACGCGTTGGAGTGAGCAGTTGCATAACATAGACGCTGGCTCCGACGATAAATATGCAGAGCTGAATCCTCTCGAGAAGCTCCTATCGAGATTCCGGCGAACTGTTTCCCTTCAAACGCCCGATTTGTACAAATGGCCGCCGGGGACAGCTTGCGCTCAGCGATACTGGTCTCGTTTTTGGATGGGGCACATTTCGCGTACGTCTGTCCTCCCAGTCTTACCCGACCTCGATGCTCCCATCAACATTCATCCTAATAGTGGTGTTCCCCGTCGCCTGTAGCTCAAAAAAGGGGCGCCGTTGTTCGACAAATTGGCCACCTGATTATGTCTTTGGTGCTCATCTAATCGGCCCAGGGGCCCAAATTGCATTGTCAGCCGTAGACACTTGATTCACCCGATCCCGAGTATCCGCGGGAGGGAGGAAAGCAATAGACTACGAGTATGTCTGAGGCTCCCGGCGATACACGATTCGCACCACTTTCATTACATCATGGCTTGGAACTGGATATGTAGGGATCTGGTCATACGATGTCTTTTCCGTCAGCCACGCTTGCATTTGAATGTTTCAGCTAATAGTATCCTGCTCAGGCATTTCAGCGGCCATGGCGTAGAAAGTCATTACTCCACTTGCTAGCCCTGGGTAATAGTAGAGGGGGCTTAGAAATATCACGCCGCTGGAGGCTGCGCCGGGGAGACATCCTCGTCGGCGGCTCCCTGGCGCCAAACAAAATGACACCTACGGTCCAGACTGTATATTCCCATCTACTGAGGCCTGCCGCATTCATGCGGTTCAGGTCTCTAAGCCCTCTATTCTGCTCACATCGTTCTGCCTCCCAACGTGAACCACGTGTGCAATCTTTTGCTGCAGATTACGATCGCCTGAGCTCGTTTCTTCAGATACTTTTCAATTCTTGGACAAACAGACAGCCAGGCTCGCAGGTTAACAACGGCTAGTATCAAGTTCGCCAAACCGTCCCGGCAGCACAATCCAGACCGGACTCAGGGGACTCATTACCTTGGTGGAAGCGACATGAACCAGACTCATCAAGTGCCACTCGCTCCACTTGAAGCACGACACGGCTCGGCAGACCTCGCGATTTATTCTTTCCAACCACCCGCCGCGTCCCGTACGCTCGTTGAAATACTCGATGCCTCCGTCTTGGCCCACCCCGGGGCCGCGGCAGTGGACGACGGGACGGTGTGCCTGAGCTACTCCGAGCTGGCACACGAAGTGGAAGCCCGGGCCGAGCAGCTGCGAGCCACCGGTATCGGTATCGGCGACCGCGTAGGCGTGCGGGTGCGCTCTGGGACGGCCGAGCTGTACGTGAGCATACTCGCCGTGCTTACCACCGGCGCTGCGTACGTCCCAGTCGACGTCGACGACCCCGATGACCGGGCCCGACTAGTCTGGGCCGAGGCCGGGGTGTGCGCCGTGCTCACCGACGGCACCGAACTGACCCAGCACAAAGCCCCGCTGGGGGGCGGCCCACGGCGCCGGCCGGGCCCGGAGGACGACGCCTGGATCATTTTCACCTCTGGCTCGACCGGCAAGCCCAAGGGCGTGGCCGTCACCCACCGCAGCGCAGCCGCCCTGGTCGACGCCGAGGCTCGGCTATTCTCACCCATCGCACCAGGGGACCGCGTCCTCGCCGGGTTGTCGGTGGCGTTCGACGCCTCGTGCGAGGAGATGTGGCTGGCCTGGCGACACGGGGCCTGTCTCGTAGCCGCTCCGCGCTCCATGGTGAGGGCCGGCGCGGATCTGGGGGCTTTCCTCGTTGCGCAACGCATCTCGGTGGTGTCTACGGTCCCAACGCTCGCTGCTCTGTGGCCCGCCGAGGCGCTGCGTCGAGTCCGGCTACTCATCCTCGGCGGAGAGGCCTGCCCCCCGGAGCTGGCAAGCCGGTTGGCAGGCAGTGTCGGGGCGGCGTGGAACACATACGGCCCAACCGAGGCGACGGTGGTGTCTTGCGCCGCTCGGTTGGTTGCCGGACAGTCCGTACGCATCGGACTGCCCCTGGCCGGATGGAAACTGGCCGTCATCGGGCCTGACGGCCACCCCGTGCGCTGGGGTGAGACGGGGGAGCTGGTCATCGGCGGCGTCGGGCTGGCCCGCTACCTGGACACGGCCAAGGACGCGGCCAAGTTTGCCCCGTTGGACTCCCTCGACTGGCCGCGAGCCTATCGCAGCGGCGATGTTGTCCGCGCCGAGCCGGACGGGCTCGTCTTCGTCGGCCGGGGCGACGAGCAGGTCAAGCTGGGCGGGCGCCGCGTCGAGCTGGGAGAAATCGACGCCGCCTTGATGACGCTTCCCGGGATCCGCGCCGCAGCCAGCGCAGTCCGCCGCAGCGAGACGGGCACCCCGGTCCTTGTCGGCTATCTCGTCGGCGACGGCACCGCCGACGCTGACCATAGAGCTCTGCTCCGGCGCCTGCTGCCTGCGGCGCTGGTCCCGATGCTCGTCACGGTCGACAGCCTGCTGGTGCGCACGTCCGGCAAAGTAGACCGCGCTGCCTTGCCGTGGCCGCCGCCGGCGCAGCAGCAGCAGCTACGGACAAACCAACAAGCAGCCGAAGGCACCGTGGGCTGGCTCGCCGAGCAGTGGCGCCGCGTGCTCGGGGTGCCGGCCCGGCCAGATGAGCATTTCTTCGACCTCGGGGGCACCAGCCTGGCCGCGGCGCAGCTTGTATCGCAGCTGCGCCGGCGGTGTCCCGCGCTCTCGGTTGTTGACATCTACGAGAATCCCGTCATGACTGCCATGGCCGCGCGGATGGACCAACTGGTGCGCACAAAACACACGGTCCGCGTGGTGATGCCGACGCCTCGCCGGGCGGGACTGGTCCAGATGCCGATACTGCTTGCTTTACTCACCCTGCAGGGATTGCGATGGTTGATTGTCCTGGCTGTATATGTAAAGCTCGCTGCCTTGTTCTTCGGCCCCGTCCCCTGGGGTGAGGAGCTCCTGGCCCCGTGGTGGCAGATCATGGCCGGCTGGCTGCTGCTCAGCAGCATGCCCGGCCGGGTGTTGACCACGGCTGGAGGAGCCCGGCTTCTAACCACCGGCATCACGCCCGGCAGATACCGCCGGGGCGGATCGGCACACCTCCGGCTGTGGACGGCGGAGCGGTTGGTCGAGCTCGGCGCCATCGCCCCCATAGCCGGGACCCATTGGTGTCGGCGCTATGCCAGGCTGCTCGGCTGCCGGGTGGGCGCCAACGTGCAACTCCATACGCTGCCACCGGTGACAGGTCTGGCCAGCTTCGGCGCAGGCTGCGCAGTGGAGCCGGAAGCCGACGTGGCCGGATGGTGGCTCGACGGCGATACGCTGCACGTCGGAGCAACGGCCATCGGGGTTGGGGCCCGGGTCGGCACCCGCACCACGCTCATGCCCGGCACGGTGCTCGAGCCGTACGCCCAAGTCCAGCCGGGCATCTGCGTGAAAGGGACGGTGCAAAGAGGCGGCACCACATCCGCGGTCAAGCCAGGGACGGAGCCGGAGGGGACTAGCACCCGGATCCGGTACACGCTCTCGCTTCTCCTGCTCGAGACGCTGCCGGTACTGGCCGCCGCACCCGCGCTGGGCCTCGGCGTCCTGGTCATCGAAGATTACGGCAGTATCAGACAGCTGTTCATGGCCATGCTCGTGCTGGCGGTGCCCGTCGCCTTGCTGAGCGTGCTGTGTTATGCCGCCATGATCATCGCGCTGGTTCGATATGCCGCCCGCCATCTCCATCCAGGCCTCCACTCCTGGCACGGCGTCTCGGCCTGGGCAGCCTGGTTGACCAGCCGCCTCATGATGGATGCCCGCACCGGCCTCTTCCCGCTTTACGCCAGTCTCTTCACCCCGAGCTGGCTGCGCCTGTTGGGAGCCCGCGTCGGCCACGGAGTCGAGGCATCGACTGTACTGGCCCCCCCGGCTCTGCTCGAGGTCGACGATGGGGCCTTCCTGGCCGATGATGTCTTGGCCGCCCCGTATGAGCTCTCAGCTGGCCGGCTTCGGCTGGGCACCTCGTCGGTCGGCGCGAGGGCATTCATCGGCAACTCGGCCATGGTTGGGCTAGAGCACGCGGTTCTCGATGGCGCCCTGATTGGCGTGCTGGGCACATGTCCGGCCCCGGCCCAGATGAAGCCCGGCTCGTCGTGGCTGGGGCGGCCGGCAATGCCGATCTGCCGCCGCGCTGAGGAGCACGCTGACCCGGGCCGCACCTTTTACCCTCGGCGCCGGCTTGTGCTGGCCAGGGCGCTGGTCGAATCCTGGCGACTGCTGCCCCTGGTGTGCTCGTCGCTGCTGGCCGAACTGGTTGCCCTCGGCATGATCATCATGCTGGATATAGCAGGCTTCCGCTTTGCGGCCGTGACGGGCGGCGTGTTGCTCCTGGCCGCCGGGGTGGTCGCCTGCGCGCTCGCAACGGCGGCCAAGTGGCTGTTGACTCGCACAGTCCAAGGTGGCGAGCAGCATCCGCTCTGGAGCTCCTTCGTATGGCGCAACGAGCTTGCCGACGTCTTTGTCGAGTCCCTGGCCGCTCCGTGGCTGGCCAAACTTTGCTACGGCACCCCCTTGCTGCCCGTGTGGCTGCGCTCGCTGGGGGCCAAGATCGGGCCCGGGGTCTGGTTGGAGAGCCACCGGCTGCCCGAGGCCGACCTGGTCGACCTGGGGGCCGGTGCTACCGTCAACCGGGGATGCGTCCTGCAAACCCACCTGTTCCACGACCGCCTCATGCGTCTAGGCTCGGTCCGGCTGGAACCAGGGGCCACCCTCGGTCCACACGCCATTGCGCTGCCGGGCGTCGTCATTGGCGCAGGCACTACCATCGGCCCAGCTGCGCTTGTGATGCGCGGAGAGCACATCCCAGACGGCACCAGCTGGCTGGGAAACCCGTTGCGGCCGTGGGCCAGGGATGCGGTGAAAAGCATGCAGTGGGAACCAGCCCCGGTGTAGATGCAGATGGACTCAGCTGAGCACCCACATGAGAATGTCACCAGTTGCATAAAAAGACGCGTGAAAAGCACAACTCAGGTGTACGAATATATAGACCCCATTTCTTTATCTGGACCCACGAGAGGTATTCATATTGTAGAATAGAACTTGCATCACCGTTTTTCCTAGGTGTTGCCCGCTTTACCTTCCACTGTGCTCTCGAGCCCCTGTTCGAGAAGACTGTAAGTTATTTATTTGTTCAGGGATAGATGGCTTGCATGAGATGCTGCCCGATAATTGTTGCATGTTAAGCCAGCTTTCGATATATCTTAGTTCTCGAGTTACCTGCAACCTTTCTATATCATCTAGTTGCGAATTCACACTTTCCACATGATGCATATCGTCATGAACACCGTCAGACTAGCCCTCCTGTGCCTCGGACCGGTCGGCACTCGGAAAGTCCCGGCCAGAGACATAATGGATGAGCTGAGTGCAATGTAGTCTCTCGGCCTCACCGCGGAGGATGAGGTCCTCGTCTGCCGTTGGGCTCCGCTCGAGCTGGACAGCATGCCTAGTTTGCGACCCGCCTCAGATTTTCCCAGCATTCCAAGGTTTTGGATCGGCGCCCATAATAAAAGACTCACGCTTCCCTCCACGTCGCCATATCAAAACACGGACACGCAACGTATAGGTCTCAAAGCAAGACGATGAAGGAACACGCTCTTTTCCTGGCCTTGGCGGCAGTCGTCGCGGCCTCCCCCCAACTGCTTGTTCCCAACTTACAGCCCGCCTTGACCGAAAACTTTCAGCTCTCTGCCCACGCTTACCCTTCGCGGAAATCAGCCCTTGACCGCTCCATCGAGAGCTGGGAAGTCGTGTCTGAGCCTCGTGGCTGTAACTGTCCGCAGTCACTCACCCTGTCCAAGCCGCTGAGCAACGGCACCAGCGCAGCCGAAACCTTCTACTTCAACCCGGACTCCCTCACCGTCCAGTCCGGACCCGACGAGGCGCCGCGCGGAGTGGTCTTATCTCGCAAGGAGAACCGCTGGGCTTTGCGGCTTGTCCCCGGGGAAGAAGGCACCTCCAATCTGGGCGTCGCCCTTAAATCCGACGGGCCGCAGCTGGACTATCAACGAGGGAGGTTCTACGCGTGCGAGACCGGCACGCACTCGCACTCGACCGTCGAGCTCTTTTGGAGACATGAACATGACACGGAAGCACTGTCTCGTTCGTGTGTCGACGTTTCCCTCTACGCGACGCCAGCCGACGGCCCGTCCCATGGACCATCTTCCGTCGTCGTGGCCTGCATGGACGTCAGAGGCGGCACGTGTATTTTCCCTTTTCGCTAAAAGCTGGAGAAAAAAACGTCTCGAAATGCCAGATCGACTGAGCCTTGAGTACTCGGCTCTGTGAGGCGCGTGCGTGATCAAAATGGGTCTGACAAGTCCATATTTGGACATATCTAAGATGGGGCCTACAAGAGTGCGCATAGACTAATTTACGTTGTCTTAACTAACACGTTAACTCACTCGAGACTTGACGAACGACAGCAGGCTCGCAGAGAGCCGGGTTGTACTGAAATGATGACTTGCATGTCCTATATTGCCCAACAACATAATACAATACAGCCTCCCACGGGCTTACCCTGCTGAAATATCACCAGCCGTCACAGTCGACAGCCGATGGGGACTTCTGCGGCACTACAGCCGCTCGGACACTGGTGTACTTATTCGATTCGATACTATTATGGCTCTAGTGATTGGGATCGGCGTCGATGGTGTTCTCAACGTCTTTCCCGAATCTTTGCTGGACCTCTTTGTCGAGCCTCACCAACGACTCAAAAACGGAAGGCTTGCGGAAGCCGGATTTGACGACGAGCTTCTTCACTTGCTGCAGGAAATCCTTCTTGCCCGACCTGAGAGTCCTCAAGATGTCCTTGCGTCTTCTGTTAGGGCTGGGTGTATTTGCCAAGGGAATGGCGACACTTACAAGTCTGTCGCGCACAATACCATTGCTTGTGTGCTGCAAGATCTTCGGGTCAGGCTTCTGTGATTCCACGGCAAGATCAAGGACGTCATTGACACCGCAAGTGTAGGCCTTTGGCTTCCAGCCAAGATGAGCCGGGAGTCTCTCCTCTTCGAAGATGGACCTGATGTATTTGAGTTCCGCGCCCTCATGCTTGTCGCCCATGGTAAGGATCATCCGGGCCACTTCCACCGCACTGTGGCCGGCCGCCTTGTTGTCGTAATTGGTTGTCGGGTTTATTCTCATCTGATCCTTGACACGGGCGGCCCTTGCTTTGCCAAGGCATCGGGCGCTGATCTTGCCGTTTTCCTGGCAATGTTTCAACACCTTGAGAGCGACGTCCCAGTTGCGCTTATTGAAGTGAACATTGTCGCCCTCGGCGGCATCCTTGCGCGAGAAGCTGCAATCGTGCTCAATGCCCCACGACGTCCGGTCGACGTCTGGGAGGTCGAAAACCGTGTTGACGCTCAGCTTGGCTGCCAGCAACCCGCTCAGCGTGATGATCGAACACGTCTCGGGCGACATGCCCAAGCCGTGGAAGCATGCATTCACTATGCCGGTTGCAGTAAGCTTCTTGCCGTTGTGAGGCAGAAAGCTGTGGTTTGCAAGCGAATTCAGACCGGGGCACGCGCTGCGAGCTGGATATAGATTTCAGCATGACTCCGTTACCTCTTTGCAACCGGAAACGCACCGTCACCCTTTCCAGGTTTTTTAAAGAGTTTAAACCTCTTGTCGTGGACATCCAGCTTTGGACCATCTTTGGACTTTGAATGGCCGCCCTTCGATCTATGATGACTTTTGGACGGGTGATGCGGCTTGTGGCTCTCGTAGCCGGCACGCCGTTCATTGACCGGATGCTCTGGGTAGTCAGGCTGCGCCTGCGCCTCGTAACCCTTGTAACCAGCCGGATAGGCGGCGACCTCCTGCCCTTGACTTGAAGCCGTGACCAGCTGGAGACTCGACGCCAAGAGCGTAAGCGTGATCGCGGAACCGTTTGGGAGTCTCATTTTCACGTTGGTCAGGTCGACAAGAAGCTGACAGATACTCAAGGCGCTTGGTCGAGTGCGATTAGAAGCGTTGGCAAAGCTCATATAAACCAATTGAAGATGGGGCTCCCCGTTCATGTCATGACGGGCCTACGCAGGGGATGTGAAGAGTCGTCAAAAATGCCTATCGGTGTACCCATGTCTTGGGCCCCCCAGAGGACATCTAGAGACACACGAATGCCAATAATCGTTGCGAGAGCGCCGATTACCTGTGACTGGGTAAGAGTAAACGGTCGCATTTTTAGCCTGATCGATCTCACATGAGACATGCTATTTTGCATCGTGTCCCTCCTCTCCATCCTCTGGCATGACCCATCGAGATTCTGCAACGAGGTTAACCGCAAGGGGGTTAAATGGTTCGTTGCGTGGTGTAGTTGAAGACATCGAGGTTGACACACGGTCCTGCTGAGGGTTTTAGGCTGCCCAAGGTCAAAGAGGAGCCTCCAGCCTCGCTTTGGTCAGCGTATTAACATGATATTTGATAGGCCAAAGCGAGGGAGAATGACTCAAGCGTGCATGCACAAGCATGAGTTCCAGCCTTGGAACGCCCCCCAAGCTGGAACAAGCATGGCTCCCGGGTGCAGTCTCTTGGTGCCATGCGGCTGGGTGCCTGACTTTCCCTGCACGCTGCGGCCGGCCACGGGTAGGGACACGGGTAAGACACTTTACCAAAGACCCCATAAAGGCTCGGAATATGATGTCAGCCATTCGTACCCGTAGTCAACTCCAGCCATACTCTGACATTTCCATCACGCAATGATCTCGCAGCTTCGTTGTGTCGTTGTGCTCAAGTCTATAGGAGAGACCGTGGCCCAATGCACGCGTTGGCTACGGACCCGTGGAACGTGTTGCGGACTACCTCCATATCGTAGCTCTTTTGCCGTCATTGAATGCCCTTTTCGCGAACCATGCTCATCGTGTCACTTCGTACGGTGCGAGGTATTGTACGCTTTCAACTGGCCATGATCTTAAAGAGACCCTACAATCTCCAAATTCAGTCCCTGGCCACCGCCTCCCTCGAGGACCTCACTGTCGTGGACAGGACCAGTGGTTGAGACGGTGGCATAGAAGAATAGTGAGTAGAACTACCAAGTAGACGGCGAGCACTCTGCAACCAGCTCTCATGTACAATAGGCGAACATGCCCGACACTATATAGCACGTAGACGGGAAGGGACCGTGGAGGTCCCGACTCTATACCGGGCACCTCTAAAGATCACTCTTCAATCAGTTCGCTTGCTTCAAACCCTACTCCAACTTTCGAGGGTTTCTGGTATACACAAGTTGCCTATCCTGCCGGTCGGTACAAGGAGGCATTAAATAGTAGGGCTCATTCTGGCCTAGAACGTAGATAGTCTCATGCCTGAGTTGAAGGTAAGAGTTTCAGCAACCGTAAAGGGAGCGGAGGATGACCGGCAACGATGCCGAGTACAGACAAGCAGTTTCATTAGCTTCATGTTAACCACGAGTCTGGAACATTATCCAGGATTAGGCGGCCGCCAAGTGCACGTCAGATGTCCCAGTTTCAGACGCTCGAGAGAGCCAGCACATCCTGCCTTGCCGGATGCAGCCCCAATGACATCGGCACTGCGAAAGGCGTTCGGCCATCTCCCACGTGAGTGATCATTATTTCGGAATGTCTGAGATTCAGGGGTTTTCGAGCTTCATGGCTAGCACAATCCTCGGCCAGTCACGCATCGTCGTAATTGTCACCCACCTGCTTCTCTTGTTGCGGCTTCAGCACGTGGAATCCACGCGATATCCAGGGGAAAAGAGAACGACAGAGCCGACTGGATGCATGACTGAGAGGGGCGCTGGCTACAGCAAGGGCGGGGTAATGTGTTGTGGGCTCCAGCCGGTTGTTAGCCGTGCGAATCACATTTGATTGTGAACGCATGTCCGATACAATGGCATGATGGTCGGCAGATCACTGTCTACGTGGCTGTCGAGCAACAGGGTGCCTGTCTGGTGCTCGGCAGTGAAACCAGCAAGTTCATGGTGAATTCATTTCCATCTAGCGACGTCAACAAGAGCTATAGGGGCATTGACAGGTGCTCGTCTGCTTTCCCCAGCGGATCAGCTCAACCTCCATCCCGCGTACTTTCCTGCCTGTCACTGCCACAGTCCCTCGTTCGTGCCACTGTCGGGCCGGACTGTCAAGAACAATCTGCACCAATGACGCCAAACAGTCAGCCCATCAAATCCTCGCCAACAAGCAGGAACAAAAAATCTCACTTTTGATGAAGTCGTTCCCCTTTCCTCCGCTCATAAGACCTGACCTCCGTGCGTCCTTGATGCCATGACTCGTCACTGAACCTTGCGAACCCTCGCATGGTAGACTGTCGCCGAGACTAAGCGATAAGATCGGCGACATTCATAGGCATTTCATCAATCTGAGTCGAATAGTATACTGGCGGCATGTCAGCGACGAAAATGAGCAGAGTAGTTGGTGTCGGGGAACCCACGTTCGATATCTCGCAAAATGCGCACGTCCTCGCTGGTGACAAAGTTGATTGCAACACCCTTGCGGCCAAAGCGCCCGCTTCTACCGATGCGGTGGATGTAGTTTTCTCGGTTGCTGGGCAAGTCGTAGTTGATGACCAGGCTGACTTGCTGCACATCGATGCCGCGAGCCCAGACATCAGTCGAAATCAGAACGCGGCTGTTACCCTGTCGGAAGTCGTGCATGATGCTATCTCGCTCCTTCTGCGGCATATCGCCGTGCATGCTGCTGACGGTGAAGTTGGCCTCACGCATCTTGTCCGTGAGCCAGTCCACCTTGCGACGCGTGTTGCAGAAAATGACGGCTTGCGTGATGGTCAGGGTATCGTATAGGTCACAGAGCGTGTCAAACTTCCAGTCTTCCCTCTCCACAGCAATAAAGTACTGCTTCAGGCCTTCGAGGGTCAGCTCGTCACGCTTGACGAGGATGCGCACCGGGTCGGTCATGAACTTTGTCGTCATGTCGAGCACGTCGTAGGGCAGAGTGGCGCTGACGACCACCACCTGGGTCGCGGGTGGGAGGTAGCGATAGACGTCATAGATTTGCTCGCGGAATCCCTTGTTGAGCAGCTCGTCGGCCTCGTCCAGCACAAGCATCTTGATGTGTCTGGTCCGCAGGTGGCGTCGCCTGATCATATCAGCGACACGACCAGGCGTGCCAGACACAATGTGCTGCCCGTAGTCGAGCTTGCGAATGTCCTCGCCCACGTTGGTGCCTCCTATGCACGCGTGGCATTGAACGTTCATGTACTCTCCCAGTGCCATGACGACGGACTGGATCTGAGTCGCCAGCTCGCGAGTAGGCGATAGCACCAAGGCCTGCGTCTCGCGCACAGCCGTGTCGATGACCTGCAGCATGCTGATGGAAAAGGTTGCCGTCTTGCCGGTACCCGACTGGGCTTGTGCGATGGTATCGCGTCCCTTGCAGATTTGCACAATGGCCCGGGACTGCACAGCAGAAGGCGTCTCGTAGCCGTAGCCGTAGACACCACGAATGAGATTGTCTTTGCAGCAAGTGTTAACAGGTCAGTCGTGACGAGCAGTCGTCAGAGAAGTCTTGCCTTTCAGTGACATGGATTCGAAGGTCGGATGGACTGTCACCTCCTTTGAGGTGGAGAACTCCATCCGCTCATCCGCCTTGCGGTCGATGCCTTCAGCCATGGTTACGAAAATGAGCTGTGTTCTGGCGTGAGTAGGTGTTTCTGGCGTGAGTGAGGGTGTTGAAGCCAAGACGATGGATGGGGTGAGAGGGAAAAAAAAGATGGGGCTTAGGTTTCTAGCGGGTAAACTTCGGTAAGAAGCTCGCAGCTGGCAACAGCTGCCGACCGAAATTCGCGGGTTGCTAGGCCAGGCATTGACGCGACTCTTCTTTTCACTAATTCAACAACGCAACTCTCTATTTTCTCTTCAGCAACCTCCAAGAACCGACCACCGAACCTTGCCCGAGTCACACAAGCCTAGCCTTTTTCACACGAGCCTTCTCGTGGAGTCGTTTCATGTCCGTTCGCATCGAGAGCGGCGTCACGCCTCGTTCCTAACTCCGAGATGCCGTTGGATCTGGAGGAGGAACGGTACATCCACGAGGACTTGGAGCGTCTTGAGCAGGGCATCGCAGACCGACTGCGCGATGATCCCAAGCACGTGAGTATACCGGAAGCTATGCGTCTTGACCAATCCAACGCAGCGGTTGACCATTTCACGAAAATGATACAGATCCGAAATCGCCTCAACCGGGACCATGAGATTGCACAGTTGCTGGAGCAAATGCAGCAGCAGTCTAGAAACCTAGCTCGAATCTACAAGGATGGTGCCAAGACAAAGGAGCGCGAGCTCGAGCAGTTGCAGACGGGCGATCCGTTTGCCCAGTTCTACAGCCAGCTCAACGAGCTGCGAGAGCACCATTCCAGATACCCCAATGAGCAGGCAGAAAACTCGGAGATGCGCTACAAGCCAAAGCAGTCTGGCGATGGCACAGGGCAGATGCCGTCCATTGTCGAAACGCTCTTCTCTGGAGAGGAAGCGTACGGCCGGTTTTTCGACCTGAATATCTGCCACGAGGCGTTTCTCAATCTGCCCAACGTCAAACGACTCTCCTATCTGCAGTACCTCGAAAGCTTTGACAACTTTGGTCCCGGCTACGGTGGCCTCAAGAGAGTCGAGAAACTCACGGATCAGTACTTCAAGTATGTTGGTGATCTCGCCGACTATCTTAGGTCGTTTCGGGAACGAACCCGCCCCCTGGAGGATACCAAAAAAGTCTTGGCCGAGTTTGACCAAGAGTTCGAGACGGCTTGGAACAAGGACGAGGTTCAAGGCTGGCAGCTGGAAACACCCTCGACGACCGGGGCATCCAAAGACCCAAACAATGTCACGGGTGTGTGGTGTGCCGACTGCGAAAAGGTGTTTACGAACAAAAACGTGTACAAAGGTCACCTTACCGGAAGAAAGCACAAAAGGGCTGCCGAGCAGAGAAAGAACCGGCAAGAAGCCGATGGCGAGGAGACTTCTGGGCAGGGTAGACCCGCTGTCTCCACGACACGGATCAAAGAGCGCGCCATCGCGGAGCGCGAGTATCGTGTCAAGCGTCTTGCAGCTTCGATGAGCACTGAGCGAAGTGACACTCGTGTCAACGTGGAGCGCAAGCAAGGAATGACGGAGCGCGAGCGCCAGCAGGAACTCGATAACCTCCTCAACGTCTCCGAGGCGCCCAAGGCAGGAGCTCAAGGCGAGGAGGAGGACGGCGAAGACGGCGAAGAGAAGATTTACAACCCCCTCAAGCTGCCCCTGGCGTGGGATGGCAAGCCCATTCCGTTCTGGCTCTACCGACTGCACGGGTTGGGCGTGGAGTTCCACTGTGAAGTATGCGGCAACTTTGTCTACATGGGACGGCGGGCCTTTGACAAGCACTTTGGCGAGCCCCGACACATCTACGGCCTCAAATGTCTGGGAATCACCAATGTGACCCTGTTCAGAGACATCACCAAGATCGAAGAGGCACTGAAGCTGTGGGACAGGCTCAAGCAGGAGGAGCAGAAGTCCAAGGTGGACGAGGGAAGTATCGTGCAGATGGAGGATGGCGAGGGCAATGTCATGCCGGAGAAGGTCTACAACGACTTGCAGAAGCAGGGCTTGCTTTGAGCGAAGCGAACAGATGGGGGCGACGATTTGTGACGCATGAGATCAGAGTCGACAGCTGGCAGGGGCGAGGATTCGTGGAGTGCGAGAGGAGAGAGCCGGCTGTGGGTGGAGGAGGAATTATCTGTCGCCGAGTAAGGAAATGAAATCAAACAAGTAAAACCCATAGCTGAGCGTCCCAGTGATGCCCGTGCTGTGGCCATGGCCTCATCCAGACTCAATCCTAATTACACGATACGTCGCTTGGGACACGCTGAGTCAGCCAGGGCGGATCATTCCCAACTGTACTCGGTACGACGCGCCCGGACGACGACCTGCGAGCCGCATCTTGCGGGCTTTGTTTACAAGCATGTCGCAAATGGCCCCGAAGCCGCTGCCTGCTTTCTATACAGTGTACGTCTTGCGTTCTACCGTTAGGCACGCATCACTCTACATCGGCTCCACTCCCAACCCGCCGCGAAGGCTGAAGCAACACAATGGCGCGGCCAAGGGCGGCGCCGCGCGCACCTCGCGACAGAGCTTGCGGCCGTGGGAAATGATTGTTTTGGTCTCGGGGTTCCCCAGCATGGTTGCGGCGCTCAAATTTGAGTAAGTTTCGTGCTGCTGGTGCGGACGCTGCCTGGTGACTAACTGCCAAGATGGGCGCTCACGAACCCGCATCTTTCGCTGCACATCCCCGAGGAATCGCGTCTGGCCATGTCGACGCAGCGCAAGAGGAATGGCAAGCCGAAGAGACCGGCCCATAGCCTCAAGTCTGTCATGTCGAACTTGCATCTGCTTACGGTTGTCCCGAGCTTTGCACGGTGGCCGCTGAAGCTGCATTTTCTCGCACGAGAGGCCTATGCAGCGTGGGAGAAGTGGACCCAGTCCTCGTCATGCCCTCGCCGGCCAGGCCTGATGATCATGACGGATTTCGATGCGTCTGCAAATGTCGACGAGGATGCGGCGAATGGCATTCATGCATTGCCGCTCGACTACCAACCGTTGAAGGACTACGTCCAAAAGGCTTACGACGTTGTCTCGTTTGAGCGCGAAGGGGACTGTTTGCACTGCGGCGAAGAGCTGGAGTCTGGGAGGGGACTGCACGCAATGTGTCCCAATGAGGAGTGTACGGGCATGGGACACCTCGACTGCTGGAGCCGGCATGCTCTCAAGGGCGACGACGACATGCACGTGATGCCGGACGTCTGCAAATGTCCATCGTGCGGGGGAGACGTGCGGTGGGGAGACATGGTCAAAGAGCTGAGCCTTCGCGTCCGCGGCGCAAGAGAAGTCGAAAGGCTCTTGAAGAAGAAGAGGGCGAAGAAGGACAAGGCGGAGACGAGTTGATGCGGCGGGATTCGCGTTGGCGCTGCGGCGGTAAGATGGGCTGCTTTGGAGTTTTGGAGTTTTGGAGTTTTGGTAGCGCTGAGTGGCTTGAGGCGAAGATGCCGTACAATTTTGTGGCCATGTATTGCTCAAGTGAGGCATTGTAGGGAGCTCCGCATCTGATGCAAAATTCTAGGCTTTTGTTGGCGTTGAGGATTAGGTGGCGTCGGCTTGGGTAGGTACGACGTACGACATGAAGTAGATGAAAATTGCCTGCTCTAATGCGCAACCAAGAGGTCGTCTAAGCGTCCATTGTCCAAGTATTTTGTAATTTCGAAGTCGCGACACTGCAGTCTTTGGCCTCGAGGGTGAAGTGGAGGAGGGCGGGCAAGCAGCAATCGAGATAAACTTTGGCATGTCCTGCAAAGAAGAGCCTGGATGCCATGTGGGATGACGCTTGGCCGGGGTGCCCCGCCCGATCCTTCCTGGAGGGCGCAGCTTTTGCCGACTTCATCGGCACCTGATTGGCCCGGAACATCCCTAACATTGACGAGCCCCTGTAGGTGCGGCGGCGGATATCAGAGCTGGTGCATCTACGGCGACTGTGAGCCCCTGAGCATCCATCTGGCACGGCCTGCCGCATTCGGACAAGAATGCGGAAGCGGGCATTGGCTGCGAGAGACGGGCTTGGCGCCTTTACTGCGACCGCTACATTCGCCTCGTACTGCAAAGATTTGATCTCGCAACAGCCACCATGGTCGTGAGGTTTTATTGGGGCTGCATTCTGGGGAAATGTCTTGGCCATCAGGTTTCGTGCGTGCTGCATAACCCAAGGTCACGTGGAGCTCTCTCAGCATTGACCTGAACGGTAAAGAGATTTTGCTCGCCCACTGGATCAACTGCTGGGAAAAGTCGACGTGCTGTTGGTCAGCCAAATAGCGACTTAGTCTTGGGGCAAATAGTATCGTCAACTTTGCGCGCAGCCAACCATCGACCCGCCACATTGAGCGACCATGCACGCGTTTGTACGGAGTATAGTGTACATTTTCCTACTGCTTCGGAGGTGTTTCAGCTCATCCGAAGAGAATCTACGTACATGTAGTGTGTACATGCAAGGTGCGCAGCTCCGTCAGATGATTTCGAAGCAAAGCATACCCCAGGCGCGCATCTGTGGTTTATGTGCGTTTCGCATTCGAGAGGCCAAAGGAAGATATCCATGTGATGCCTCATGTTTTCTATGTTTTCTCGGCACCTTGAGCTAGCCTTGGTCGCCCTGGGCCGATCGTCTGCACTGGGAATCGGCATGGGCGGGTCTGCAAATCCGCCGGGCCTGCCGCATGTGTGCCATTTTTGTTCCGAGCAAAGTACGTACTCTGCGCGGAGCACAAATCGGGGTTTTCAGTCTGTGCCCGGGTACCTCTACTTGCGCGACGCATCATGTACAGGCCCGTTGCCGGGCTGAGAGAAGAATTGCCTAGACTCTGCTGCACCGAATAATGTCGTGGGTACAGTACCTTGCCTTGAAGATGAAGCACCTACGGATACGGTACCAATTACCTACCTAGGTAGATACCTTACTACCTAGTACTGTAGGTCATCCGCTCAAGCGCTTTCGGCGAGGCAGGTGGCAGGGTGCAGTGCTAGTCTCAATATGTCTGCTGGAGCCAAGGTGTCTTCCTCCCAGACAGGGGACGGCGGTACCTCAGTCTTCTCGCAGCGGTACAGCCAGCACCGCCAGTCCGCTACCTCCACCGCTGTACCTCCTGCAAGTCCACCACCCGGGACCGCCTGCCGCACCTCCTACAGTGCACTCGCATCGGCGACCGCGACCCCATCCATTCCGCCCTCGCCCGCTCCCTCTCTTCTTCTCTCTCCCTCACACCCTACTCCCAATTCCTCCCGCCCTCCGTCCTCTTCTCCCTACACAACGGCCGCCGCCCTAACCGTCATTGCATGGCTTGCAGCTCCCGGATATCGACCGCCCGATCGATACTGGAGCCTTCCCCGCGTTCCTTTTTTTTTTCTCGCTGCAATCCTCCGGCGCATGCGTTTCCCCCGGTGAGTCGACCTCGGGGCGTATTAGTCGCCATCGTGGTCGGTTTAAGCTTTTACTCGCTCATACGCATGTAGGCAGCCGCACTCCAAGCCTTCTCGTGACAAACTCGACTAGCGCCTGCACCAGAATACCTCTCCTCGAGCCGACCGTTCTCTGATCCTCAATCCTGCACCAACTCTCCTTGGACCGGCCCTCGTCGACTGCCCCCGTGCCCGCTACGATGCGACGAGTTCCCTAGCCGCTGCTTTCTCTCCCGGGTGACGAGCCCCTTTCCAACACACACTTTTATTCGAACCCGCCGAGTTCATACCGCCTCGAGGCGCTTCAACACGCGATTGCCCTTCGCCTTCGCTCGAACCCCTCTGCTCGCGTCATGGTACCGGCTCAAACTGCCAGAGCCGCAACAGCGGCCACCGCCAACAGCGCCAATGCGAGTACTCGCAGCTCGCCTGCCGCCGGTACCCCGAGCCAGACCTCGTCGAGACCAAAGCCCAAGGTCAACACAAACGGCTACCACCCTGCCAACCCTCAGATCCCCTTGAGCGCCATGGTCAGTTCTGGCTTGGATTTGACCTCGGTCGAGCGCCGCGGTCAGCCCACGGCAGTTCGCGAGCCTCTGAAGAAGAAGACTCGTCCGCATGGCATTTCCGAAGCGCCGACGTTTTGTCCGAGCGACGACGAATGGAGGGATCCACTAGAGTACATCAAGAAGATTGCCCCAGAGGCTTCGCAGTACGGCATGTGCAAGATTATCCCGCCCGACTCGTGGAACCCAGACTTTGCCATCGACACCGAGGTATGTCTATTCAGTCATGCTCCGTCTCCTTACGCCCAAGAGGACATCGTGCAAATTCGCCCATACTTAGCTGTCTGTTTGCCCGACCTTGACTGACGCAACACCGCAGAAGTTTCACTTTCGGACTCGGAAACAGGAGCTCAATTCGGTTGAAGGAAGTGGGTTATCCTGTTCCATTTACGCCGCGCGGTACCTTCGAGGCTGACCACTCGCTCCAGGCACTCGGGCGAACCTGACCTATCTTGATGGCCTGGCCAAGTTCCACAAGCAGCAGGGCAACAACCTGCATCGCTTACCCTACGTTGACAAGAAACCGCTGGACTTGTACCGCCTCAAAAAGGCAGTCGAGTCACGGGGCGGCTTCGACAAAGTCTGCAAGCTGAAGAAATGGGCGGAGATCGGTCGAGACCTGGGCTACAGCGGCAAGATCATGTCTTCGCTGTCCACGTCCCTCAAGAACTCGTACCAGCGATGGCTCTGTCCATACGAAGAGTATCTGCGCCTCGCCAAACCAGGCGTGCACCAACAGCTTGAGCAAGAGTACGGGGGACCTCTGACTCCGAGCCCCGTGCCGACTCCAATCAAACAGTCGAGCGTCGACACGCCCTCTAGCGCAAAAGGCGGTTCGCCTGCTCGACAGGCGTCGGATGCCTTGCAGTCCAGCTTGGGTGCCCTGAAGAAAGAATCGGATCGGGATACGCCGATGGATGATGCCCCACCGGCGCCCACATCCGGAAGCTTCACTGCCATCAACGCCAATGGGTTTACCGCAGTAAACTCGGCATCCAGCAACGCCAATCGACCCACCACCGCCGAGAACAAGAGCTACACTCCTGACCCGAAGCGATTCGACAGTCCCACCTCGTCCGCAAAGAATACCCCAGAGGCTCGGTCGTCGGGCCCGGGTACGGCTACCGCGCTGAAGCGCCAGCTCAGCTGTGGCAGTCTGTCAGATTCGGCCAAGAAAGAGGCCGACTGCGACAGGGATGATGGCGAAGGCAACAGTCGCCGCAGCAAGCGGCTGAAAAAGGGCAAGTGACGCCCGAGATGTCCATCTCCGTCACCACACTCTAACCTTCGTGTCTTCTAGATGCCGTCCCGACAGTTGCTGGCTCGCACATGACGCCATTCCGCCCATCTGTCCCCCGCATCCCGCGCGAGGAGACTTTGCCCAGTGGAGAGGCAAGTATCCGGGCCGGTGACGGGGGGCCGACGGCTGACGAGAGCCAGAGATGCGAGAACTGTGGAAGAGGCGAAGAAGCAGGCTTTTTGGTGGTCTGCGAATCGTGCGACAATGCGTATCACGGGCCTTGCCTCGACCCCCCGCTGAAGCGCAGGCCAGAGGCCGAATGGAACTGCCCGCGTTGCCTCGTTGGCGATGGACAGTTTGGGTTTGAAGAGGGCGGCCTATACTCGCTGAAACAGTTCCAACAAAAGGCAAACGACTTCAAGCAAGGCTACTTCGAAAACAAGATGCCTTTTGACCATGCGTTGAACTGCCATCGGCCGGTCACCGAGCAGGACGTCGAAACCGAGTTCTGGCGCCTCGTTGCCGATTTGGAGGAGACTGTCGAGGTGGAGTACGGCGCCGACATCCATTGTACCACGCATGGCTCTGGGTTTCCGACCGTGGAGAAGAACCCGAGCAATCCGTACGCGACCGACCCTTGGAATCTCAACGTGCTCCCGTTCCATCCCGAGAGCCTCTTCCGGCACATCAAGTCGGATATTTCGGGCATGACGGTGCCTTGGGTCTATGTCGGCATGATCTTCTCGACGTTTTGCTGGCACAACGAAGATCACTACGCCTATTCCGCCAACTACCAGCATTTCGGCGCGACAAAGACGTGGTACGGAATCCCAGGGGAAGACGCTGAGAAGTTTGAGGCCGCCATGAAGGAAGCGGTGCCCGAGCTCTTTGAAACGCAGCCAGATCTACTGTTTCAGCTCGTCACCCTGCTCACACCCGAGCAACTCAAGAAAGCTGGCGTGCGTGTCCACGCTTTGGATCAGCGGGCCGGTCAGTTCGTCATTACCTTCCCCCAGGCCTACCACGCTGGCTTCAACCATGGCTTCAACTTCAACGAGGCTGTCAACTTTGCACCTTGCGATTGGGAGCCTTTTGGATCGGCCGGTGTGGGAAGGCTTCAGGCCTTTCGGCGGCAGCCCTGCTTTTCTCACGACGAACTGCTCTGGACCGCCGCAGAAGGGAGCGCAGCCTCTGGGCTCACGATCCAGACCGCTAAATGGCTTGCTCCCGCGCTCGGGCGCATCCACAAGCACGAAATGACACAGCGGGAAAGCTTCACGGCCAAACATGTCGAGTACTCGCGCCACCGGTGCGAGCTGTCTGGCGGACACGAGGACAGTGGCTGCCCGCTTACCTTCAAGGTCGAAGACGAGGACGTACAAGACGAGGACGAGCAATGCTGCAGCTACTGCAAGACTTTTGCATACCTGTCTCGGTTCAAATGCCTTCGGTCCGGCAAAGTCTTGTGCATACTGCACGCAGGTCACCACGCTTGCTGCGACCAGACCGAGGCGGAGCGGTTTGCCGGAAACGAACACATTCTGTACTACCGAAAGGCAGACGAGGTGATGACATCGGTCCGTGACAAAGTCGTAGACAAGGCTCGGACTCCGGAGGCATGGGAGGAAAAGTACTCGAAGATACTGGATGAGGAAGCCACGCCATCTCTCAAGTCACTCCGCACTCTGCTTCACGAGGGCGAGCGTATTCCTTACGAGCTCACATCGTTGCCCATCTTGAAGGAATTCGTCGAGAGATGCAATGACTGGGTTGACGAGGCCACCAACTACATTGTCCGCAAGCAGCAGAACCGTCGAAAAAGCGACAAAGTCTGGCAAAGCGGGTCGCGAAAGTCGGTTGGCAACTCATTCCACGACCAGAAGGAGCGCGAGTCGCGCAATGTGTCCAACATCTATCGACTCCTGAGGGACGCAGAACACATTGGCTTCGACTGTCCCGAAATTGCCCAGCTGCAGGAGCGCGCTGGTGCGGTCAAAGAGTTTCAAATGAATGCCGCCCGAGCTCTGGAAAACACGGCAACGATACCCGTGGAGACGATTGAGGAGCTCCTCGAGGAAGGGCGTAGCTTTAATGTCGATACGCCCGAGGTTGATCGCCTGTCACGAGTTCTCGAGCAGATGCGCTGGAACCAGAAAGCCCGATCAAGCCGCGGCGTGTTCCTGTCTCTGAAGGAGGTCCAGGATCTCATCGAGGAAGGCAAACGGCTGGAAATCCCGAGCTACAACGACCACCTGAAATACTACCGCGATCAGATGCTGGCCGGTGAGGGCTGGGAGAGGAAGGCAAGAGAACTCATCGATGCCGAGATTGTGCATTACCCTCAGCTCGAGGCACTGTCGAACCAGGTACAGGTCAACGCACTCCCGGTCTCTCAAGAAACACTGGCCATTGTGGACCAGATCTTGCACAAGCAGCGAGAGGCTCATCGCCAAATTCTCGACATCACTGGGCGATGCCGTGATGCGGATTTCCGCAAACGGCCGAGGTACGCCGAGGTGGTCGAAATCTCGAAGAAGCTCGAAGATCTCAACTCCAAGCCGAATGGCACGTTGGATCTCGAGAACGAGAGAAAGCGACATGAGGACTGGATGCGCAAAGGCAAGAAACTGTTTGGGAAATCGAACGCACCCCTCCACATTCTCAAGAGCCATCTCGAGTATGTACTGGAGCGCAACACGGACTGCTTCGACGTTGAGCACGACACTCCGCGGATGCCCGGAGAGCCGGTCTCGAGAGAGGCCACCCCGGAGCAGGGCGCGAGCCGCTGGGAGGACCCCCGCTCCAGACAGGTGTTTTGCATCTGCAGAAAAATCGAGGCTGGCATGATGATCGAGTGCGAGCTCTGCCACGAGTGGTGAGTTGGAAGTGCGACGGGATTTTTCGTTGCGTGCCTGACATCAGACTCTAGGTATCACTACAAATGCCTGAAGATTGCCCGCGGCAAGGTCAAGGAAGACGACAAGTACACCTGCCCGATATGCGACTGGCGGATAAAGATTCCTCGCGATGCCGCTCGGCCCAAACTGGAAGACCTAGTGGCGCTGTCGGATGAGATATTGTCATTGCCCTTCCAGCCCGATGAGGAAGAGATTTTGTCCCGCATCATCGACAACGCGCAGACTTTCCGAGACCACATTGCCCGATACTGCAACCCTCTTCTGTCTACAGAGGCCGAGGCCGAGACGCAGCGATTCTATTTGCGAAAGCTCGAAGGCGCCGAGGTGCTCTTGGCTTTTGAGACGAATTTCTTCCGGCAGGAGCTTCACAAGTGGTGCCCGGCCGCCCCCGAAGCGCCGCCCATCCTGGAGGTGTCCTTGAGCACTCGCAAACCCCGGCCGACAAAGTTGCAGAAGATGTTGGCGGAATACGGAGTCGACAACCCCGACGACCTGCCGGAACACGCAAAGGGCAAAGCAAACAGCTTGCGACGCAAGGCGGCGAATGCAGAGGCGGCGGCCGCGGCGGCGCAGTCGACCGCGTCAGGCATCATCATGCCACCGACCAGCAATGCCGTATACGGCAGTCCGACGTTCTTTGCGCCCCCGTCCCAGTCGCGACCGGCGGGCCCTGCACCCACCCATGGCCACGCAGCAAAACCTTGCCCGGCGTCGCACAAGGATCGGCCCAAGGCCGGGGCGCCAGAGGCCAACAGCGGCTTGCATCTCGGGTTCCTCGGGGCAGGCGGGCCACAGCTGCTCGCCGACAACTCGGCCTTGACGCTGGAGGAGCGACTGCTGCAAGGCCAAGAGGACGGGATCAACTTGCAAACGGAGGCCGGGAAGAGTAAGGCTCTCGAAATACTCGGTCGCACAGAAGTGGGCAGGAAGCAAGCGGAAAACATATGGGGACCAGACGTCTGGCGTCCAAGCCGCCGGTCTATGAGCGACGCGGACGGGTCGATGACTCCGGTGGAGATGGATGGCATGATTAGGCATGACGAGGGCAACGTGGATCAAATGTTCAAGGAGATGACGAACCAGGAGGACGACGAGGACCAGAAGAAGAAAGAAAGCGTCGCAAACGGCCCCGTCACGGCGGAATCTCTCGAGAGCGAGAGGAACGGCCTGGACGCTCTGTTGGACGGCGAATAGGGAGTGTCTTTAGGAGTTGACAAAACGGGGACAGGCTGGGAGGGGCGTTTGCGGGCCAGCGTTGGCAGAAGGGAGCAGAGGCTGTCCCGTTCCATGTAACATTACACGATACCTCCCCTCGCCGCCAGAGCTGTATTTTGGTGGCAACAAGACGGCGGCGCCTACACACACGGGATATGGGAGTCTGTATATTGGGGCCATTCAGTTTTCTCTAGGTGCAGAAGAAGAAACGTACGTTGTAGAAAAGTTGTGGTGCATGGCCGAGGCCACAATAGGTCGTGCAGACGGGCCCTTGGCATGCTCGGAGAAGATATGGGAATTGGTTTGGGCTGGCGCGTAGCCATTCACTCGCCCAGGATTTATTTGCCTCTCTCTCTCTCTCTCTTTTTGTCTCGACTGGCCTCTAGCCTCATGCCTCATCATATGCTGTTCCCACAATCTTCGTGGCGTTGAGCCTTGGAAGTCTATGTGTATACCTCGTGTATCGTTTTGTTCCCTCGTAGCCAATTGTTGAAAACATGGGCTCGCAGACGCGCCGCGCGGAACCACCTCCCCCCGGGGATCTACACTCGTGCAAGCCGCTGTTGAAAAAAGACCGGTCCCGATAACGCCGTCGACAAGATGAGAGGGGGAAATGGAAAGAAGATGAAAGGGGAGAATACAAGAAACGAAAGGGATGTAGACATCAAGACCTGTTGATGCCGACGAGGCTGAGAAACTCGTTGCGCGTCTTGGACTTGCGCTCAAAGCAACCGAGGACGCAGCTGGTGATTGTGGAGCTCGATGTCTGCTGGACGCCGCGCATGACCATGCACAGGTGGCTCGACTCCATGACGACGGCGACGCCCTGGGGCTTGAGGATCTCCATGATGGCGTGGGCGACCTCTTTTGTGAGGCGCTCCTGGATCTGGAGGCGGCGGGCGTACATTTCGGCAATGCGGGGGAGCTTGGAGAGGCCGATGACGGTGTCGGAGGGGATGTAGCCAATGTGCATCTGGGCATGTATGATTAGTCTTGGGATTGAGAAGGTGTACCACGGGGGGGATGGGCGTACCTTGCCGATGAATGGAACGAGGTGGTGCTCGCAGAGGCTCTGGACCTCAATGTCTTTGACAATGACCATTTCGTTGTGGCCCTCGTGGAAGAGGGCGTTGTTGACGAGGTCGGCGACGTTTACGTGGTAGCCCTTTGTGAGGAAGAGCAGGGCCTTTGCGTAGCGCGAGGGGGTGTCGAGAAGGCCCTCGCGGTCCGGGTCCTCGCCGACGCACTCGAGCAGGGTGCGGACGGCGCCGCGCATGCGCTCGAGACGGTCATCGGCGTGGGCGGCGTCTTCTTGGAGGCGGTCGCGCGTGCCTCGGCCTGGGGGCATCAGCACTCAGCACAAGGATTTGTTCGGGTGAAGGTATGGAGGGTGAGGGTACCCGGGCGGCTCAGGCCATCGTCGTCGATGACGGGGCTCGGAGGCCGAACGCGCTGGCCCTGTCCGGCGACGACGGCACGCTTCCGGGTGGGCGGCTGGTCGCGAGGGTCGCGGGCGGCCTTGCCGAGGCTATTGCGGCGCTGGTCAAAGGCGGCGGCGGGTGGGCGAGGGTGGTGATGTCCATTGGTGCCGTTGACGAGCAGCTGTTTGTGGCGATGGCGACGCGAGCGCCTGCGGCGGGCGTCGTGGTCGTTGTCGGGGCTGGGCGAGAGGCCGCCGGGGCCGCGCGTGTCGTCGCTGCCGTTGTCGTCATCGCTGGCCGAGGACTCGAGGGAGCGCTTGCGGGAGGAGGAGGAGGCGGCGGCGGCGACGGGGGGTGCGGCGGGCGCGAGGTCGAGGGTGTCGCGCTGCGCCATGGCTATGGGAGGGTGAGGGTGCGAGACGGCGAGTTCCGGAAGAAGGAAGAGGTTGAAAAGAAGAGAGATGTTGGATGGATGATTGGTTGGTTGAGTTTTGAGAGGGAAAAAGAGGTTCGTCGCAGACCTCCTGGTTAGGCGCATATGCCGAGGTACAAGGTACACACAAAGTGTATGTGTTCGCGGGGTCGGAGTGGGGGATCGATTTGCCCCGATAGGCAACTTGCTTTTCCAGGGTACGTACCGCGAGTACGGATACCCGCGGGTCTAGAAACTCGAGGCAATTATTAAGTTACTGTAATTACCTCGCACGTGCAAAGGCTATACCCTTTGGCTGCGGAGGGAAGGAGCAAGCACACGTCACTTGCATTTGTAGCGTCGTCTGTTATCTGATGGGCGGTACTTTGAATCTGCTTGCTAAAACTCACTACAGTACCTGGATAAGACTCACGCTGTTTAGCCCCCTGCCACTGGGCTATGTAGTGGACGTGTCTTACAGGTCGAATCACGGTCATGAATGGCCATAGATCATGACTTTTCAGTCGTCATCGCCACCGGCCTAGCAGATGGGACAAGCCCATTGGCAGTGAACTTGGGCCCCGGGATTTTGCGCGCGAACTTGTCGAAAACGCGGTTCAGAAGTTGGTCGGCCGGGCATGCACGGATCCGCTGCTGCGAAGAGGTCCCGCGTGGCCTTTAGGGAGCCGTGACGGCGCAGGCAGCTGACCAGGAATCGACGTTCAAGACGCCAGAAGCGACTGGGGACTTGCTCCTGTAATATGTTTCTGTTGAGGAGAGCGGGCATGAGAGGCTACAGTCATGCCCAGTGGACCCAATAGTCATGCACAAGGGAGCCTACCTGTGCAACATGACTCCCCTAGCCCAAGGTGATAATGTAGGCCTGACTTAGGTACAGGAACATCTCCATGCCCTCTTTTGGCTAGCTATGTGTGGTCACTATACCTGTATAAGCCCCTCCCTTGTCCCAATAGATAGACCAAGACATGAATCACAAAATTCACCTTTCTGTGCCCCTATTTCTTCCACTGTGCTCTCAAGCCTCTGCTTGAGAGTTTCCTTCCATTGTCGAACGCGCCACATTTGTGAGAGGCTGTCTCCTCGCTTATTTAACAGGCAAGAGCCTTCATATTGACCCTCTAGAGCTACTGCAGAAACAGAGAACAAAGCCTAGATTGCTGGCGGAGATATAGAGGCAGTCGGCGACATTTGTTTAGCATGGCGTATTAATTTGAACAGATTGGAAAGGTCTGAGGCCTAGAAGTGGGTACAAGTAGCTCATTAGGTTAAAGAACATAGTCGCCTTATAAAGCCGCCCACTCCCACTATCCGGCCACCTTCTAATTCCCGCTTAGTCTCTAAGAACCCCGAATTAGCAGAGCTGCGTTAGTAAAGCGACGCCATGACCGGGCGGCCTAGCATTAATAAAGCTAACCCGAGAATTGACCTGCCTAACTTTATAGTATACTAGGCAGCCTTAGAGAGTTAACTTTACTACTAGCCTCGTTCTAGGCGTACGCCTAGAAAGCTACCTCTCGACTAAGTAGACTTAAGTAGGCTTTATTTTCTTATATATATATTCCGTCTTATTTAAGGGGCCCGACTGCCTCTCCCTATCTGCTAGGTGCTCTAAATAAGCGAGCGATTCTATAGTATCGGAAGACTAGGTTTTAACCTCGCTTAACGCGAGGAACCTATAACCGCGCTCGCGACTAGAAGGTAACTAACCGCTTAACTATACTATAGTAGAAAGCCCCGACACCTAGCTATATAGGATAACCTCGCCGACTCGGGCTCTAACCTAGGAGCCTTAAGCTATATTAGGCCTTATATATAGCTCTTCCGCTTTCTTAAAAGCTTAGTAGCTATTATAAGGCCTAACTATAACTTAGAAAGAAGGGGAGCTAGCTAGGAGCCCTTAGAAGCCCTAGAGCCTAAGGCCTCTATTACGATAATAGAGGCCCTTAAGCCCTTAGCTAAGAAGTAGTACTAACGCTTCTTAGCTAGCCTAGCTAGCTTAGAAGACTTTAGGTTATAGCCCTAAGCCTTTTATACTAACGGCTTTAAGGGGTGCCTTAATTAAGAGGATAGCGTAGTAGTAGAAGCGCCTAAAAGACCTACTTCTTCTATAAAGTTATAGGTTTAAATCCCGCCCCCCCCCCTAGCTTATCTAGCTACTCTACCGCTATCCTTAACTAGCTAGCACTAATAGTCCCCGCTTATAGTGAGGTAGAAACGGCCTTAAGGCTATATAACGGAATAGCCTTTAGGCTATATAATAATAAGCTACTATAGCTATAATACTATAACGCCTCTTAACCTTAGTAACTACTTTAATCCTCGATATAAGAAAAATAAGGGGGGCCTAGGAACCTAGTAATAAAGGAAAAAACTATAGTATAGGACTAACTAAATTAACCTTTCCTTTATTATCTTTATATTTATATAAAGAAAAATCCTCCCTTACTAGTTATAGGCTATAAGGTTATATAATTAGCTAGGACTATTAGTAGGGGGCTTCCCTTTACTAGCCTTACTATAGCCTTAAAGGCTATATATAAGTAATAATAATAATAATAAAAAGGGGTGCCTTAAAGGGTCCCTTATAGAGACTAACGCTTACTCCTTCTATAAAATAAGCCTAGAAAATAGGCTTAATAAGGCGTACTATAAGAACTTAGGGCCCTTAATTAAAGTAGCTAATATAAAGCTATTTACGATACTAAGGGTCCTAGAAGACCTAGTTTAATAGGGATAAGGGTATACACCTAAAGTATATATAGTATATAGCTAAGGATTAATAAAGTAATTAACTATATAGTTATCTAATTATTAGTCCTATATATAGCTCTAAGGGTCTTAGGTTATTAATATAAGTCTTAGAGATTTCTTTACTTTATACCTCTTTATCTTTACTAAAGCCGTATAACTAGCGGCCTTTACTTTAAAGGGGAAAAATAAACGTTTAAATTAATTATAATTATAAAGGATACTTAATTAAATAATCTAGGCTTTTTTAAAGTCTTTAAGTATACTTTCTTTTATATTATTCCTTATATATAGCCTCTAAGGTTATAGTAAGGCTAGTAAGGGACTAGGCCCTTATTAGTAGTCCTAGCTAGCTATAGAGCCTAGGGGCTTATAACTAATTAAGGATAGGGTAGCTATAAAGGTAATAATAAAGGAAAGGTTAGTTTAGTTCCTCCCGCGCGGTAAATTTCCCTTTTAAGGGCCCTAGGGCCCCTAAGTTACTTCTTTTTAAGCTACTTAGCTATCCCTATCTTTATTTTAGCTAAGAAGGTTAAAAGGGCTTCCCTTCCTTCCTTAGAGCTATAGAGAATAGGTAGGCTAAGGGGCCCCTTCTATCTCTTAAAGGTCTAGTAAAGGACCTCTCTTTCCCTCCTATAGTTTAAGCACCTTAGGATAAGGTACTTAGCCGTATACCTTCCTTAGCTATAATAGTAGTTATCTCGGTCTACCTTATTAGTCTTTTTTAAGAAGGAAAATAAGAAGCTAGCCTTAAAGAGGAGCTAGTAAAAGGCTAAGAATATTAGCTTAGGCCTCCCTATAAGGTCCTTTTCTAGGCTAAGGGCTAAGTAAGGGGTCTTTTAGATAAATATATAGTACTTACCTCGGCCTTTAGCCCTAAGGCCTTTAGCCGCCTTAGTAGCCTAGAGTCCCTTTTAATAGTCCTTAGTAGCTTACTAGACCTTTCTTTATAAGTAGCTAATAAAGACTAAGGGGGTCCCTTAGGTAGGAGCCCTTAAGCCTTTTTTAGCTAGCTAGTTAGCTAGCTTATTACTAAAGATCCCTAGGTAGCTAGGGCACTAGTATAACTATATATTATAAAAGGCTTCTAAGCTAAATAAGAGCCTTTTAATATATATTACTAGGTCTAAGAAACTTATAACCTTTTTTATAGCGGCTTAGCTATCTATAAAAATATAGGTATTTATAAGGGGGTTAAAGGGGCTAAGCTTTAAAGGCCGAGGCCTCCTAGCTAGGTCCTCTAAGACCCTTAGTATCGTAAATAGCTCTATATTAGCTACTTCGATTAAGGGCCCTAGGTTCTTATAGTACGCTTTAATAGGCTTATTTTCTAAGCTTATTTTATAGAAAAAGTAAGCGTTAGTCTTTATAAAGGACCTATTAAGGCACCCTTTAAAGCTATTAGTATAAAAGGCTAAGGGCTATAACCTAAAGTCTTTTAAGCTAGCTAAGCTAGCTAAGAAGCGTTAATATTACTTCTTAGCTAAGGGCTTAAAAGCCTTTATTATTATAATAAAGGCCTTAGGCTCTAGGGCCTATAAGGGCTCTTAGCTAGCTTTCCTTATTTCTAAGTTATAATTAAGTCCTATAAGAGCTACTAGGCTTTTAAGGAGGTAGAAGAGCTATATATATAGCTTAATATAGCTTAAGGCCCTTAAGTTAAAGCTTAATTTAGCGAGGTTATCTTATATAGCTAAGTAGTAAGCTTACTTTATAGGGTAACTAGGTAAGAAGTATAGGGTTTAAAGGGTATAAGAGAGGTATACCCTTTTAAATTATACCTTTAGTAGTAGTAAGGCCGCTTTAGCTTTTAAAGCCTTAATAAGGGATCCTTTAAAGGCCCTTAAGACCTTTAAAAGAGCTTAGTTTTAGAGCCTTTAAAAAGGCTTTAAAAGGCTCTTAAGGGTCTTAGGCCTCTTATACTAAAGCTAGACCTTATAGTCTATTATAAAGGTTATATAAGCTAAGTAAAGCTATTTTAAGGCTTTAATAATAGGCCTTTTTATATAAAGGTTAAGTAAGATAGTCTTTTAAAGGTAGCTTATATAGAGGCTACCTTCTTCTTAATATATTATTTAAATAGGAGCTTAGAATTAAAGTAGACCCTTAGCTACTATACTAAGGGCTTTACCTTAAAAAATAAGCCTCCTACTATTATACCCTTTAAAATAAGCTACTATTACCTACTAAAGTAAATAAGTTTTATTTTTAAG